AGCTGCGCTGAAGGAGAGCTAATATGTCAGGAGCAGAGAGGCCTCTGGAAGGAATTTCTGCAGCCTGTCTCTGAGTCGGCAGCCAAAGCCAAGAGGCTTACACACAAACCCCACACTCAGGGTTTGGGTGTAATGAGGAGTGACTTTCATTTACAGTCCTGTTCCCTCCCAGAGGTCACAACCTCTTCTTCCTTGTAAACTCAGTGGTGAATATGTATAATTTTCTTCTCTTGCTCACTAATTTATGTGCCCTTTTCATCCTCCTTTGGGCTGCGGGGGAGTGGAGTGGGGAGGGGGAGAGGCTTTGGGAAAGAAATGCTAACTCCACCCTCTAGAGGTCAGCGGCCTATCACAGGCACAATGACACAAAACAGGAATAACCAAGTATGTTCACACACTGCAGAGTCACTCACCACACTCCAGGACCCCTCCCCCCACACATCCACACATACTCCTCTTTGTTTTTACTTTCTTTGTCACACTTAAATGTGTCAGAATATTTAACACAGTTTTCCATCATACTAAACCAACCTAAGTGAATACAAACAATTTCATTCATTGGGGAAAGTTCTCAGAACCAATCTGGTCCAATATGAAAACTGTCTACACCAGATGCTGCAGACCAGTGAGCAACTGACTGTTTGTTGCAAACGATGTGCAACATAGTGGTAAACACTGAAGCAACCTGAAAGGCCTCAGTGTGGAGGAATTCCTCCAACAGGGAAAGGCTGGATTTGCACCAATGACTGGTAAACAAATGTTTGGATTTGCAAGAAGATAGCATGTCTCCAACTGGCACTGATAATTGTAAAAGAAGTGTCCATGTGGTGTGATGCAGCACATCTTTTACAGTTAGATGAAGGGAAGCTCCGGATCCCGTTTCTAAATGTGGACCAAAAAGTTCTGCTTTGCTCTCATGTGACAACATTGGTGCTGTGACAAACTGCAAACAGCAACTTTCTTCTCGTCTCTCCTCCACTGAGGTCAGACACATAGTGCAAACCCAACAGCTGTCCTATCGACCTGAGCTCTGGACCTCTGCAGATCTTTCAGCGGCCTCTCTGATTGGCGGTCAGTTTCGATGCTTGGCCAGGTGTTGGCTGAACTGTTAATGGTCTCATGGTCAGTCTGCAGACTCTGCATTCCTTTGTTGTGTTTTATAAAGCACATCAGTAGAAAACTGTGAAAACAGCAGTGGAATTATTAGCTCCTTTGAGAAGATGAGCACAGACCCTATTACACCCTAATAATTCACACGAATTGGATATTATTGATAACAGCTTATCTTTTCAACTGCACAAGTTCAACAAACAACAATCATTTGCATGGGAAAAACTAAATTGAACCAGTTGAAATGTAGCACAGCATTGTGTTTGTCCTTTTCACTGCTGAGTGAGCAGGGACGGTTTTCATTAGGAAGGAGGAGTGGAATTCAGAGCATCTGGGTCCAATACTGTCGACTGTTAATCACACAAACAGACAGCAAGAAACTCTGTGTCAAGATAAAGCAGCAGCACAAAGACAGAGAGAGAGAGAGAGAGAGGAGCGCTGAGGCAATCCAAACAAACCAACTTTTGGCTGGTGAATCCAAAGTCAGTGGTGACCTAAAGGATGTTTACGTTGTCCTGGGCTGACTATCAGAGTTGGGTCAAATGGCTGAAAACAGCAGAATGAACTTTTGTTTCTATCAGCAAAGGCAGATGCTCATCCCCACATGGTGGAACCATTATCTTGCGGTTTTTGGTGATAAGAGTTTCACAATGTGGTATGAACCTCAGAAGCTGTTTCAGTTTTCACGTTGGGATTTAGGGGTTTAGAAATGTTGCATAAAATGATGCAACATTTTATGCAAAATTACCCATCATCTGGCTATCAGGTCGAACTTGGCTAAACATCTGACTCAGAAACTCACACAAGAACACAACAAAGTTTGACAGAAGTACTTTTTACTCCTTTAATATCACAATATTTATAAAGTTTACATAAAGTTGATTAGTGTCAGACAATCCGCTTATTGACTGATATCTTTTTGGTAGTGTCTCTGTTTGAAACTAAACCAATATCTGTCACAACGTCCATGGATCATGGCCAATCTCTTCATTTTAATTTGACTCAGTGTATTTCTGATTGTTTCTGAGAAACTTTCAGCATGTAAATCCTTACAATAAAGAAATCTACATGGGGAAAAAAAGAATTTTTTTGCCCAGTTTTATGCTTCTTAGAAAATTAATTTTAATAAGAATGAATTTCAACATTGAAAGCTTGCTTGTCTTCTGGTTTTTCTCTGATTTGAGTTTATGTGTGCAACATGTCTACCTCAAAATGTTTTCAGGGTGTGCAGCTTCAAAGGCATTCCTGACACAGGATGCAACACTGAAGCTCCACACAATGTTTTGATCTTCACTTAAAAAAAGAAAGGTTTATGTTTGAGACGTCGGCAGGAGCTCTGGTGGTGTGATGTGGACTAAAAGCAGCGTACAGGTTCTCATTGTACATTTCCAGCATTGTTCAAAACAGGAATCCACACTTTCCTTCCAAGCAGGCTGACATTCTGTGACCCTTGAAAAGCAACTTCTAGGATTTCTAGAGGTTTTTTCATTATCTTTACTGCCGTTTGAATCATTCTAAGCATTTCAGTCTAATCATCTTCAAATCCTCGCCAATTATGTTCCATAAAATAACTTTCCCCAACTCTCCTGAACTGTTCCAAAACTGTCAAAAACGTTCCTAAAATTGTCCCCAAACAGTCCCAAAATTGGTCTAAAAACTGTTCCAAACTGTCCCCCTACAGCAGGGCTCTCCACCTTGCTTTCATTCTGGACCAAATCAAGAGCATGAAGGTGCTCAAACGGCTTGTTGTGGCAGAACATATGAATAAAACTTTTCATTAACAAATTGTTCATGCTTCCTCTGCATTCAGTCTGTTAATAATATTTAACATCTTTTCACTTTGACTTAATTTTCTTTATGGACCTAAACAAATTAAAACCAAATAATTTGACTGATCAAATAATATTTAAGTTCACGACAGTTATCTTGATGTTGTATTTCTGTGGCCCTTTGAGGCTTAGAGGGCCACAGAAATAGCTGTGGTGGACCAGATTTGGCCCGTAGGCCTTGAGTTTGACATCTGTGCCCTCCTGGATTGAGGTGTAAACTAAAATCACTTAACATGATATTGTCAGTTATCATCAGATTTCAGACCTGGGAAATAAACCATCTGGTTAAAGAAAAATATTCAGCACATCTGCTGTTGGGCTGCAGCAAAACAACCACTTATTGACTGTGAAATCAGCCACGTTATATGAGATGGACAATGTAGAGGAGAGTCATGAGACAGAAGGGTTGACTTTTAGTCACCTAAACTCTAAATGTGGTCAACATGAATCAGAGAAGACTCTCCTCTGTGTCTCGTTGTTCATCACTGATATCGCTGAACACTGAACTCATCATGGATCCAAAGGTCAAAACACTAACAGAAAAAACAAAATGTTGTTTGTGATGGGAAACTTTTTCCTCTTTTGATTTTCTCTCTGAACTGTGTTTCACTGAACTGTGACTTGTTCTTCTGCTGCCCCCACTCAGCCTCAGCCATCTTGCAGCTCCTGGTCATCTAAGGAATGCAGGGAGATTTTTTTGCTGAACGTAGGAGGGATCCGTTTGTGAAATCCTAGCATTTCCTGTCAACCAAATTGTGAAAAAGTGGACAAAGCCACTCATGCTGTCATTTTTTTGTGTTGCTTATATTCTGCAGAACAAATGAACATCCCAGAATGACTTCTTATGATCATATTTTGACAAACTCCTCTGACAGTAAAGCAGACTGCTGTCCAAAATGAAAGCAGCCAAACACAGAATGAGGAACATGCACACACAAGCTGCGTTCACACGCTGCCTGGTGTCTGTGAAAATCAATTCTTTGTGTATTGCACCCCCTCATGGCAATGTTTGAAACTGTTTGTGTTCACACCTGAATCAAGTGACTCAGTTCCTCCTCGGCAGGTCAAGTTCTACAGAACCCTGATAACCCAATGAAATGACTCAAGTGTTTTGAAGCAGAGAATGTAGAGGCTCTGGAGGACCAGACTTTTTCCTCAAATAGACAGAAAAAAGTTCCAAAATATCGAAACTCAGAAAAGTGAAAACATCAAGTTGAAATTTATTCAGAAACTGAATAAAACTTGGTGGTGAACCAGAGGTTTTATTGTAGGCCACACAGTGAAAGATTCGTAAAGCTTCAGTATGTAAATTTTATTTTATTTTTTTACATACTTGTTGAAACTGTCACCATGTTGTGAATGTGGTGTGAAACAAATCTGTGAGAAAAAAAGGAAACAAAAAAACATCAAGCAACTAGAAACCAATCAGAGCCAGGAGGGTCTTAGTGCTGTCAATCACCACCCCTGTGGCGCTGCTCTCCCCTCTCCTGCACACCCCCTGTTCTCTCTGCAGTCCTGCAGCTGGCATAACTTTTCATGAATGCTAATGTTTGTTAGCATGACCAACTGAATAAACAGTTTTCCTGTAACGGTAAGTTATTTCTCTTCCATTAGCACATTGAGCATCGAGTGCATGAGCATGATTGACAGTGTCAAAACCCTCCTCTTGGCTCTGGTTGGTTGTTTTTGCAGCATTTCTTCAGATGGCAATAGTAGCTCCTGGATATCAACCTTTTCAGATTATCTGTCTCATAACATAATGTCATGTAATGCATCAAAAATTCTCATCAGGATATGGACTAACTGGCCCGTCCATGGTGTTAAATATAATCCTGGGCTAAGTTGGGCAACACACCTGGGTTTTTAAAAGTTTGTTAAAAAAATAAACATTAATTCAGTAAAACTTTTTAAATCTGTGATCATGATAATTGATAATTATTTAGTTTTTTTCTTTTTGTCAAATGAGTTCTATTTTATCTACAGGTCCATGTGTCACTCAGTGATTAAGACTTCTCCATGTCACAGCGCAGCATTCTTCAAAACAAAGACCAGACCAGCAAATTACTTATTTGGAAAATACATTTAATCCCTTTAAATCCGGGCAAAACAAAGTCCACAAGGGCAAAAAGAGGGCCAGACTTTTGGCAGTGAGCGTTCTTTGTCAAATAGGAAGTATATCAACTTGGAGAAACACAGTGTGTCCTCATTAAGAGCCAAATAAATGCTGTACTCTAATCTTTTTAGTTTATTTTAAAAATTTGGGGGAAAAGCTGACCCTGCCACTGAACACCTCTCTCCCCCTCACCAGACTTTGTTTGACGTACCAGACAAAGATATTGCGATACAAAGAGAAAAAAGGCATACATTGTTCTCTACAACCTTCTTTACTAGGATACATTAAAGATGTATTACACACTTCCACTGTTTCTCAGTTTACAAGGCATGGTTTACATAGGCTAAGACTACATAGGGGGTTAGAAAGATGCAGTGAAGGAGTGTGTGTTTCCAGGCAGTGCTGATGTGCATCTCTGTGTGTGAGCAACAGCTGCATCTTGTAGAGTAAATTTGGACCCAAACAAATCTGCTGCCTCTGCACCATCTGGGCAGCAGATGGTAAACATCAACGCTCAGAGGTCACAGGAGGACGTCATGATGTAAACGGAGACGGATGTGGTGGTCAACGATATGCAAAAACCACAAAGGAAGTCAGAAGTTAAGATAAACCTACAAGCATAACGTCCGTTGGGGTCTTGTCATCGTACTCACATTTACATTCACTTCAGCAGCTGGTGAGGGTGAATACAGATCTAAACATTTAGTTTAAGTGCAAGAAAAACTTTCTTTCTTTCTAAGATTAGTAAATACTTGCAGAAAACACTGGTGACTGGTGTTCCCAGCAGTGTTTGAGATGAACTAGATTCATGCAGAGATACCGTATTAATATGGATGTGGATGAACTTTGTCTGTCGATAAGGCCGACCGCTGCAGTGTTAGTAACACACAGTCTAAAGCGAGACAATCAAGCAGAGGTTAGTAAAGAGAAACTACTGGATAGACACCTTGTGTAATACCATATCTATGCTCAGGCAGACATAAAGCACTGTAACATATATTTATATACAGTTTATACAGAAAACAGTGAAATAAACCCATAAAACAGAGAATGTATTAGCATGTTCATAGGCAGGACTGAAGTAAAAACCAATACACACAAAACAAACTTAAAAAAAAATATCTCCAAAGAACTACAGCACCTTGACCGGTGATTGGAACCAAAGAATGATTGATTAAAAAATACACTACAAATCATAAAAGGTTAAGGCTGCTTGTATATGACAGCATCTGTGCATAAAAAAAAATAAAACATGGAACAGTGTAATGATTTTTTTTCCTTTTTTTTTTTTTCAAGGCAGCATTTTAGAGAGCTGACTAAATCCAGCAAGCATTATATGAGATATTTGGATGTAAAAAAGAAAAGAAAAACAGGCTGTGACTGATGTGGTTCTTCCATCCACTCAGCTGCTTTAATACACAGGGCTGTTACGGATCCCACAGCACAACACCATGCTGAAGATCATCTCAAAGATCTGCCAGGGGAAACAGAGACATCACTCTCAGTGACAACAAACCAACATGTTTACTGTCAACTCTCTGTTTTTCAGGTGACAATTCTAAACTAAGCAGTTGGAACTGTCCTGACACATATCTAATTAAGAACTCAACGTTACAATGTGTTAGCTGATCAAAGTTAGAATTAATCGACAAATAATAAAAACATTTTCAAGATTTTTTCATCAAATCTTATTTAAGATAAAAAAGAACAATCAAGTTGATAATAAGTCAGTAAATTATGTTTAGAAGCCTCAAATAATACAGTTAAAAGTTAATTCTACTAAAAGAAGTTTATTATATCATATACAGGAATTACAGAAAGAGAATAATTCTCAATCATGACATTTTTGGGGATATAACAGGCTGTTTACTTGGCCAGCAGAATGTGACTATATTCCATCTGAAATATCTTAGCCTTTCAGATTTTCAGTCTAACCATCCTTTGTGATGCTTGGATTTAAAACAAGCTAACATGTTTGTTAGTTTTGTAGCGTATGAATAGATATGCTACATCTATTACAGTGATGTATTTTGGTTATGTGCTTTATTTCTTTAAGAAAATGCTAGACCTTAATATGATTAGAATCAGACTTCTATTACACACTGAATATCCTGTGCAATTATGCATATGATAAAAATTCTACATCTACGTTTTGTATTTTAGTTGAATGTTAAATCAATGATCAATGTAAAGACTAATAACATCATAATAACTCAGCTCACCATTATGACAGCAACCACCAGGGCAGCGATTCCCACCAGATAAATCTTATCTGAAAAGAGTTCATCGATTTTTCCATGGCAGTCCTGAAAACAAGACATAGTTAGAATTTGGACTCAAACTGAAGCTTTTACTTACAGTACATAATTTTTTTTAACACTCTCAAAACAGAAAAACCTTAGATGCTAAATTATTTTAAAGCAAAGTTTTCTTTTACAGTTAAGGAGAAAAAGGAATAATAACAATATAACCAAATTTGAAACTCGTTAATTTTGATAAACTCAGTGGGTAGCGGAGAATTCAGGCCAGAAAATATATCATGTAAAATGTCACTTCCATGTTTTGTAAAGCAGTAGCAGTGCTAATGTTAAATAATAATAATAACTGTATAGTACTTAATATACAGTCTCTTATTTGTATAAAAATATTTTTTCCATTAGTTAAAATCTGCATGCTTCCATTTGCCTTTAGCTTACAGCTGGTGCAGTTGGATTTCTCAAAGAATATTTCTATTGTTTTCTAATAGCCTCTATAGAAATATGTACCTTGGAGTCAGTTGGGCAATTATTTTAATACTAGTGCTTATTTTTTAATATGCCTCTGTGGGCTTCTACTTGCCTGTTACTTTACTGTTGATACAGTTTTTTCTACGGAGGGACAGATAAAGGTTCCCTCTATAACAGAACAAATTGTGTTCATCTGAAGCATGCAAAACATGTGCTGTACAGTGTAAGCAACATTCTGAAGTATTCAGCAGCAGCCCTGTACAATGTGTGTCTGTTGTAATTTTATAGAATATTTTTCAGGTTGCAGCAGATCTTTGGGGAAGGGCAGTGTTTCTTGTGGCTGATCTCAGAGGAAATGCAGCTATTGGGCCACAATGGGTCCGTTTTAATTTCATCTTCATGCAAATAATGCATTTTTCTCGTATCAATTATATTGAGATATCGATTATTTTGACATTTCTTCTCGTGCGGTTCCACTCCACCACATTCATAGATGTTTTAACCCTCAACGCCTGGCCTCAAATGAACCACAGAGCAACTGCGCTGCTCTGCTGCGTTATGTGGCAACGCTCCTCTCTGTCCTGTTTCACTCATAATGGTTCTGTGATTTCCTGTGTTACTTTCTGTTTCACTGTGTCACACATTAACTGATGCATTACAAATATTAAAAAAGAAGCAGCTTTTCAAAAATTTAACATAACTGGAGCAAACAAATGAACTCTGCAGAGCTCTGTATCCCGCAGTATAAGAAGAGGAAATGGTAGTTTCCAGTGATCAAACTTCATCTATCAAATTTTTTAGTTGGCATGTTTTATTACTGTTTTTTTTTCAGCAGGTGGTTTTGCAGAAAGCTTTTTTTTTTTTTTTTTATCTCTTCCTGCTCTACATCAGGAGCAGACACAGCCTGCCCAGAACCTTTTTTCTGATTAACTTACCATTTGTTTGATGAAATAGGTTATTTACAGTAGAAAATAACACATAAAATAATGTTTTTCTCTGTAGTGTTTTGATTAGACTGAACATTGTGAAGCATTAAGCACCCTCAGGTACTTTGGAAAGATTTACTCAAACTTTTAGAGACATTTATCTCAGATGGAAAAACAACAGTAAAAATATTATGGGATGTTTAGTCTTAGAAATTTGACTACTGTATTGTTTACACTGCAATGCATCCTGGGTAGAAAAATATAGACGAGATGCTAGCAACAAAGCAACAAAGACAACGCATAAACGTCAAATGGGAAATGAAGATGAGGAGGATCAAATGGAGGATCAAATGGAGGATCAGGAGAAGCTGGTGTTTGTGCTGCCACTGCTTGGCAATCCCAACCCCAAAGAGAGCACAGCTGCAAGAGCTGCAGCTGTTTATGGTTAGCATCAGGATCAAATCATTAATCCAACTATATGAGAATAGTGGGTTAAAAAACTTAAGCTGTGTTTCCATCAGCCACATGTTGTATGTATGCATTTTGAAGCAATGCATTAGAAAAGGTTAGTGGAAATGGCAAAATTCAAAATAACATCCTCAGTTTTGCAACGTTTTTACGCTCACTTGAGGTAAAAACCACAAGGGAGTGACGCTTTTTCAGTATGCACTCTGAAAAACAGTTGGTGCATAAATGGGAAGATGTAAACACATTTGCTGACCAAGTTCTAACACAGTGAACATTCCCATCGACTAGTGAATCTGTGTCTTACAAGGCACAGATTCACTAATTATTTTTTTATAGATTTTTTTTTTCAATAATTATGACTGTTTACCAGAGGTATGGAACTCAGAAAATTTCATAGTCCAAACCTCCAGCTGAGAGGTGAGGAATGCAGCTTTGGGTAGCTGGTGAGAGACACTGCAGGCTGCAGGAGAGGATCGCAGAGATGTGTGTTCCAAGCTAATTAGCAACCTTTACTTCCTGTTTATTATAACTATCTGAAGAATAAACATCTGACAAAATGGAGCACGGCATGGCCTGGTTGATTTGCTCGAAACCAGTAGATGGAAACGCCTGGTTCACATTTTCCTTCTTTTATGTCTGGGATATTTCAAATGTTTGCCTAAAATTTGCATTTGTCCATTCAGACGTTTTATGGGCCTCCATGACAGATCACTAGCTTTGACTTTTTATGTTTAGGCTCAGTTCCACTACCACACTCACCATCAGCCCAACATGCACTGTAAAGATGAGGAAATAGCAACCAAGATATGAGAAAAATAGCAAAGATGCACAACATTTGAAGCTATTATGAGTTTCTACAAATAACAAACAACTTTAAAGATAAGAGGAAATTACACCAAATTAGCCCAACGGGGTCAACAGGTCATGGATAATGTTGACAATAATCCAAAATACTTATTTCAAACAGAGACTTAGTCACTACCTTTAAAACTGGAATAACACTGAAACGTGTTTTCTCCCCATTTCAATTCTGATTTTAAGGCAGCATTTCACTGAGAAGAGGAATCACTGCAACATGGTATTATGAAGATCAGGTTGTGAAATGAGCTGAAGAAAAACCTTTAAAGTTAGGCATCATCTGATGAGTTGGATTGAGGTCATGTTTCAGTGATTAAGTTAGTAACAGGTTGCTTTTTTGTTAATAATTACGTTTCAACCTTAGCCAGAGCTGTCCTCCACCGATGCACGTTCAGATAAAGAGTCAGCGCCTCCAGTCTGCAACTGCCAGCAGGCAGACGCTTCATACCAATTTGATGACCAGTGATTTAAGATGATGTTCTTAATGTGGTTATAGTCCACTGAAAGGAAATGTGGTTTTATGACTCCAATAAATAACATGTACCAGCAGGAGGTTGCTCAAAGTTTAATAGTGATTCTTTAAAGGAGTAAATTGACCCAAACTAGGATCAGAACTGCACTTAATAGAAATTATGGAATAAGAAAACAATTTACTAATAAATAACATGATATGTAGGTTGTGAACATTTTAAAGGAGCAGTCTTAGGTATTTTCCAGGCATGTAGAGACATTTTAGAGCACAATCAAATAACTATGTTACCTTCAATAGTTACAAAAATATTAAATATCAATACAATTTTAAAGAAATTTCAAGGCATTAGATTTCAATTTAATGTTTTGAAATTGGACCTCCATCTCTTTAAAAAAAAGCTTTCATGATGAGCTCAGTAGATGCACAGTTCCTTCAGGTGTTTGCTAATTGTTACTGGCTAGTCTGAAGGAGCTGAGTGGGAGCGTCATGGAGGATTGATTTTTAAGGTGGAAGGTCAGAAGCTTAGAAACTGCAGTTCCATGAGGAGCTGCCCCTTGAAAGCAGCCCTAGGTTCACCCAGGTGTTTGGCACAGCTCAATGGTTGCCATGGAGATTAAAGGATTTCTCAAACATACGTTATATAATCAAAGCAACACTCTGGGTATGTTTATAACGTGTGGTTATCATAACAGCATAATGTAAAGCTAGAAAAAGTAAATTTTATGTAAAGGCTATTTATCTCTAGAATTCTGAACAATACTGCACCAGAACAAGAGATAAACTGACATGAAAATGTTAAATTCACTGGTGTAGAAAGCCAGTTTCTGGCTGAGGGTGGAAAGGAAAATGCTAACATAGGTGACATCACTTACAACTAAGGTCCATTGTTGAGAGCAGACGTCCTGAAAGCCGACTTTACTTGTTATCACTGAGAAACCTGAGGTGATCTTGTCCTTACCGCAGCACTGAAGCTGAAATATAAAAACATTTCACAGATGACAGAATTAAAAGGTTTTTTCAAGGCACTAAAGTTTGACTTGATTATTTTCCCAGAGGTGGTTTTACGCAGTTCATTTCTGCTGGTTTAGTTTTCAATCTAACATGGTCGTACCGTCTCATGGAAGACCTTGAGCACATGTCCAACAGTCGACTTTTTATTTGGGTCACTAAGGGTGTCTGACATGGCTGTGTCATAGACAGAGTCATAGAAGTTCTTCATTTCCTTTGAAACCTGGAAAAGAAACCAGATTTTATAACAGCGGTTTCACCCACATTAAAACCAAAAGGTGACAGCAGGCAGCAGGTGGTTTGGAGCTCTGACTGAACAAAAGAAGTAACAAACAGAAGGAAGCAGCTGGTTATGCAGTGAAAGTTCTGGTATTACCTACAATCAATGCAGAAGCATCATGGCAGAATCTGAATGTAGGGCTGAGATGCTCCATGTTTTCATCTATTATAGTCTTCACCAGCCATACATCCCTTGCTGGATTATTACTATGTGGAATTTGGAGCCTTTTAAAAGTTTCAGTTTCATTTCTTTAATGAAATGATTATATGGTCAGTAGACCATATAATTGTGCAATTTCAGATTTCAGCCCACTTAAAAAAATCTTTTTTTTGTCAAGGAAATTTTTTGGCACTAGGATGAGGTGGGTTGTTTGGCAGTATCAAAATTCATTTGTTTTGCAAAGCTGCCATGAAAACACTTTTTTTAGCTTCACACAAGTCACATATTCAACAACCGGATGTTACAACTGGCGCAAATCACAAAGAAGAAGACAGGAAGTACCGATAGTTGGAGGACGATGGCCTGGCATGTTTTAGTAACTAATGTGTGAATAAACTTATTCACATGTGGTTTTAAAGAGCTTTATTTGTTCATGGAAAAATCCAAAACTGTTTCAACATTAGCCAAATATTGACAAAGTTTTGTGCACATTTGTAGTAGAAATACAGATAAAGGCTTATCTGAGTTCAGCTTCTCACCTTTGTCCTGTTCTGGTATCTGCTGCACCAGAAGAGGGAACAATGCAAAGAGCCAAGTCACCAACTAGTTACACACTGTATACATTTTCAAGTTAGTAAGGAAGGAAGACTGTTTTCGCTCTCTATCCATAGTTTTTGACCCAGATCTGGAATACTGAAGTGGATAATTTGGGAAACTAACTCATTATAGTCCAGTTTCTCCTCTGCAGCTCTATTGGATGTTGAGTTAGATCTGCATATCATGAGAATAAACTGGGTAAAATTAAAAGCTACTTTGTTTCCATTTTAAAAGCAACTCATACCAAACCATTCACTTAATAAGGAAACCAAATAATAGGTAATTCTAGAAAAAATCCTGTTAGAGGCTGCAGAAGACTCATAATGCCCATGGATGTTTATCTTCCAGTCGAACAACTGAATGGTTAAAATCAAACCATTGAGGTCCAGTCAAATTCTAGAATTTAATTCAATTGAAAAGCTTTTCTGATACTGTCTACATATAATTTTTCTGTGCTTGAGTAAAATCAGAGAGAATTGGGGGCAGATTTCAGCATCCATATTAAATCTGGTGCAAAGATGTTAGAAATATTTCCCAAACAAGATGCTGTTTTAACAACTCTATTCTGTTTATTTATATAGTGCTTCAAAGAACTTTACAAAAAAGTTAGTTAAGTCCAATCATACATTAGTTAAAAATTGTTCTAAGGAAACCCAGCAGATTGCGTTGTCACTGACTTTATAGAGACACCTTATACTGAGTTTGCATGTAGCAACAGGAGGGAGAAAAAACTTCCTGTTAACAGGAAAAAACTTCTAGCAGAACCAGAACCTGACTCAGTATTAGTAACCATCTGCCATGGGTCACTTTTTACTATGTATTCTACAAAGCACAATAAAAAGGGGTTAAAAATATATAGGATAGAATTTTCTAATAATTTTTGTAAACAATTTGAGAAAAAAAAAATCCTTCTCCCTACTCGATGTTAAACTTTGTTTTAGTTTGTCATGTGAAATCCTATAAAAAAAAAAAAAAAAAAAAAAAAAACATTTTGTGGTTTTCATGTAATTAAATATTCTAAAGTTCTGGGTGTGAATACTTTTACATGGCACATTACTTTGGTCTCCACTTCTGTTTCCACTTACAGTGTCTTTGTTCATGTAACCCCAGATCCCAGCAGCAACTTCACAGGCAAACAGGATGACCAGGCAGACGAAAAACTGCAGTAGAGAGGGAAGAGAAAGGAAACAATTAGAAGGCTTTTTATGAGGCTGGAACACTTACTGACTGCAGGATGAAACCAACTCACAGTTCCTAATAAACACTGGGACTCCTGAATGGCGCCATAGCATCCAAGGAAACCGACCACCATCATCACAGTGCCCACTGCGATCAGAATGTGGACACCTGGACAGATGGATAAAAAAAAAGAAAAAACAGTAAAATGACACTGTTCCAACATGGCTCTGAACAAAAAACTGTGCTCAGTTAAATCTAGGTAGTTCTACTTGACATACAACAGGGGGCAGCACTCGGATTTTCTGTCAGCAGGAAAAAGTGAGTCATACTTCTTATTTGCACCCATGTTGTTCCCTCTTTTATTCCTTCTCCATAAAGCAACACAAATTGGTTTATAAGGATATTAAACTGGCTCTGGAGTTCAGTTTTTTCCCCCTCACAATCTAACTACTGACTTTTGTGTCTTTGTTCTGATCTGGGCAGAGTTTATTTGACTTGGAAGATTAGATGGACGACTAGCAAAATGGAAAAAACGTGTTTGCTTGGTATTTAAGAGGTAACTCTCTCCTTTATATGGTTTTCCTGAATGATGCGCCGCAGTAAGCTGACCCAGTCAGAACTTCCTTAGCCTTGTAATCCATATATGAAAAATAGAAAATATAATGACTTTTGAAAAGCACTCAGCTTTTTCTGCACTCAGCAGAATTTTGAGAATGTGCCACATATGGACTGTGAAACCTATATGTGACAGGTTAGACCCATTAGGGGTCTATTTATGAAACCCTTATGAAAGTAAGGGCTTCATCCATTCACTACAACAACAACGAGGTGGTAGAAAGAATCTCCACCTGTGGCTGCCAGATTACTCGACCTGGATTGGTAAAACTACATCACTATTGTTAAAATTTAAACATCAAGTAGGCAAAAAAAAAAAGAAAAACAAAAATAAATGGTTTATGAAACTAACTAACTTGGGCGTACAAGATTTTATTTAAGGACAGCAAATTAAAGGGGCAGATTACAAATATATGCCAACTCACTTCAGATTTCAGTTTGTAAAATATATTATAAGTAAGGAAATATTTTTCTTTCTACAGAATTATAGATTATTTTGTGTTGATTTATCACATACTATGACTGTGCTTAAAGTACATTTGTTTGTCATTTAAAAATAATGTAAAATTCAAGCAGTATGAATACTTATCAATGTAGGAAAAGGTGAAAAGGCAAAAATAGAAGAAAGCCACCAAATAAATCAAGAAAGGAAGTAAAATGAAAGTTTTAAATTATGACTAAAAACAGTACATAATTTCATGGTTAGAGTATCCCTGCATATCAGCAGTTACTGGGTGTTTTATATTTACTTGATTTATCTTTTTTTTTCTACTTGATTGGGCATATTGCCATATTGGAAACAGTCCTCTAATGCTTGTTCTAGGCTGAGAGGACAGCGGCTGCCCCACACCATCACTCTTGTCTGTCAGCTCAGTTATAATTTAATTCCAGACCACTAACTGGTGCCGTGCTTTGTATATATCCTATCTATCTCCCACATCCTCTTCACTCACTGAGCGAGACAAGTACACATGATTTCTAAATCAATAAGTTTGCAAGTGCTCTGTCCATCTTTTACATTGCGGCCTTTCAGATTGACACAGCACTTACTGTTTGGCAAATACCGCCTTCATTTGGCATTTAGCCATCAAAAATTCCATCCATTTGAAGGCTTTATTTCTAGATTGTCTTCCATTGTATTCTTTGGGTGCAACTATTCATCAGGCATAATGAGTGGAAAAACTGGTGATCTCTCTCCATTGCTGTATATAAAGTGGATTAAAATCATCCTACATTGAGGAAACTAAATGACACAATAGACACTGTCAAAGAAATTCCACTTGAGATCTTCTAAATCGACAGTATATTTAAAGACTGAAAAGCCTGAAGGTCTTTAAGACCATAAGACCTTCAGTCTTATGATCTGCTATAGTAGGAGTAGGATGTATTAGGGGTTACAGCTAAACCATCCAGCTATTGTGCACAAATACAATGCAAGTTTTCCTTGAAGCAGTTTCCTTTTCCCTGTTTTGCTATAGCTGCTTCACAACAAGACAGTACAACTCTGAAAAACTGTAATGACAGACACCAAGTACACTGGCTGTATCTGTATTTTTTGAAAATCCTTTTGTCCAACCATGCCATGTCATACATTGTCTGATGGCTCAGAGTCAGAACTCCTCCACATCCTGCTCCACCCTTACTGTACATATGATCTCCACTTCTTTCATGTTATGTTTTAATTTGTCAGGCCTTAATACTACTTATCATCTAAGAAAATATAATTACAAAGTGATATTTTGAAATTTCCTGTCAATTTTAAACATTTTCAACACAAAAACAAGGAAGGCTGCTGGATGACTGCCCTAGCATCCCGAACACAGAACTGCAAGTTTTTTGGGGGAAAATGTGCAGTATCACTTTGATAATGATTTATGGATGGTTAAATTATTTGTAAAACTTTATTAACTTGCTTGTTAAATGTTCTCCTGAAACATCAAACGTGTGGTCTGTAGGCAGACAGAATCTTTCGATCTATCCCAGAGTGTTAGCAAGTTGTTGAATAGTCACAGCTTCCAAACTGTACTGTAGATGGTGCATATTATTCAGTTGCCGTAAAAGAAAACAACCCTCATAAATTCTCTAATGTGTCCCAGAGATTAGGGACATTAGCACACAAACATGTCAGAAAGGAAATGCATATCCAACCCAAGAATCATATCTATCAGTTTGACAGAGTTCATTCCTGAAAGTTACAGTTAATCTTTATTTCTTCCAGTCTCGGATGTCCTTCCAATACTGTGAGCCTTAGCATCTCTGTTACTAAAAGGTGTGGACATCTACAGCAGACAGACATTATTCAGTTCAGTTTGCATAATATGTGCATTCAAACTCAAAGTTTGAATAAATGTAGATAAAACTTGATCCTGTACTTATTACAGGAGTCATTTGAGATGTCAATACACCACAGAAAAGTTGACAAGGGAAACATGGCACAGCTCTCATCCATGTGTTGAATGACTCAGATCGACTGTTGTTATGCTAACAGCACAAAGCAGAACTGTAGCAATACAGTAAGGCCAGAAAAGTGGCTTGCAGTCATTTAGTGAAGCAGGGTCAGGTACTACATAAAAAATTAAAAATATTAAAAAAAAACTTCAGCACCTAAATTAAACCTGAAGTGCCTCACAAACAAGAATTGCCTTAAAAGATTGGGAAAACTAAAAAGAAAAGATTTATGCTTCACATTAGGGCAGAAAGGAAACTCCACTTCTCTGGAGCTAGCTTGTTATTGCTGCCTGGAAAACTTAGATGTAGCTTAGCAATTTTACAAGCAAACACGGAGGCTTGGCAAATGGGTAGGGGCTTTATTACAGCAGTCAGCAACAAAAATGGAACATTTGAGATCTGGCCTCTGTCACACAAGACTCCTAGATTTCAAATAATGCATGTTTAGTATGTTCCATAATTTCAGGGGATTTAAGGTCACAGTGAGGCTGTCAGTGGAAAATAATCACACTGAATCTCACATTTTCAAAGACTGTTTCAAACTTGATCTTAATGTAAATTACAGTATGGGATGATTTTCATTCAACTGACCCATAATTATTAGAAAATTGCTAAATCAAAACAGAACAGAAGGGTAGGCAGAAACTGGCCAATCAGTAGACGCAGCACATCTTAATAGTGGATAACAGAACAAGGTAGCAGGCTGAAAAATGCACAACAAATAGAAGTTTAACACACATCTAAGTACGGGAGACCTTGACGTCATAGCACTTATTAAGGCCAAAAATTGGGATCACCAAGCTTAAGGCTTTTTAAGACCATCTATAAAAACTAGCCTCCAGACCAGGGAGTCACAGCTCATTGTGTGCTACCTGATTGACAATAAGTAATTAAAACCACACTAAATTGCAAATGTCACTGACTTTGGTACAGGTCAGTGACTTTACTAACTTTAAGGTTTGAGGTATGTTTAATATCTTTAGAACAAGCATTCACCAACAATAGATAGAGTAAATATGATTAAAAAAGGGGTCATATTAAACATTAACAGTTCAGTGACAAATGTTGCACAGCTATTTCTGGTATTCCTATAAGCTGCTACTGTAATGTACATTTTCTCCAGACTGGATGTGTCTGTGGAACTTCCTTGCACACGTTTTGCTGATTCATATTGGTTTCTTGGGACCTCTATGATCTGGGAGAAGACAGGAAGTTTAATTCAACTTATGCAATGATGGTGGTAATAACTTTCTCAGTCACTGCGGAAATGAGTCAAGCGGAGTCATGTTTGGCAACATCCTGAAGTTCTACTATTGTCACTCAAAAGGGCTGACAGCAGCAGAATTATCAACATTTTCCATTTGATGCCGATTAGTCAATCCTTGTTTCATCTCGTCTTTCTCCGGGCACACCCTCAGTTCTCAGGTTTGCACAAGTGTGGAGGGCTTGACATAATCATATACATATTTACCATGGTTTAAAACAATAATTTGTGGACCAAGAATTTCAACATACTTCTCTTTTCCCTTTGATCAACTCTACATCCAAAATACTAAAGACAAACCTAAACTCAATTATTCTTCACCTGTCACAAATTTCTTGAATTTCAACTTATGATTTATGGAACCATTGTTTGGTTTGTGAAAAAAAACAAATTTTTTGATTTCAATTATTTGTTTTGTGTGGCGTCCACCCTAAAACATGAATAATGAAAGACAGTTATATCAGTCTTCTAAAGTTGGTCTGTTTGGTGTGCAATAATTTCATCAAAGTTTAACTCATTTTGGTATTTTAGATTTTGCAACTTAAATTAGAGAAACAGTCCTTTAGTAATTACTAAACCAGATGATCACTTTAGTTTATGGGTCTTTTGTTGTTTTAATGTTGCTGCTATGACGCTCCTTTTCAAAAAGAACGGTCATAGTTTTGGTCTAGCAACCGAACTAAACCAATATAACTGTCTGAGAATTACTTTTTATTGGTAGTTTAAAACCAGAATTAACAAAGACTTTGTAAATCTGTCCAACATTCAGGAGTGATCAGATTTCTTTGGGTCAAAAAATAGTGGAGAAAAACAGAAGTTTGCACTCCTCCTTTTAAAAAACTATGTTCTCCCTCCTCAGCTTGCTCTATTGTTCAGGCACCTATGATCAGGTCATCTTAGGTACAAAGTCAGAATTAAAAACAAAGAAAAATGTATTTAATGCCAAACATAATTCCACTGTCAGATACTCTTTGTGACACAAAGCCTAAAGGGATTATGCAACTTTTATCAGCTTTTTTGCTTACAAATGTAATTTAGCAGGAAAATTACTAAATAGGAATGCTGAGGAATGTCCCAAATCAAATTTAAATCTAAGTTCCAGTTATTAACAAGTTGAGCAAACTTCTGGTTATGTAAGCACTGCGTAGTGCAGTTCTGCTGTTCAGGAAGCACTCAAAGCCCAAGTTATGAAAGTATGTGTATATTTATTAGTACAGGGGGAGGGGTCGTCATGTTTGGTTTATGTTGAGGGTTTTTTCAGTGTGTGGGGGTTCTGAGAGACAAAAGGAGAAAAACAGATGGAGGAAAACCGAACTAAACCAGGGATTAAGGAAAAATGAAGAGACATAAAACGACTTTAACACTAACCACAACCAGACATTGAGATGTGGGTGGAGCTACAGCATAGAGAAATAGGGTGGTGAAAAGAAAAGGGAACTCTGTGAAAAGAGGGGGGTGCTGAGGGCTGGTGGGAAAAAGGGAAAAGGGGAGGAGTAGAAGAGAAGGAGAGTGAGAATTTTTTTCCTATGCTGATGATTTTTTTCTCCTCGTCTTAGGAAAGAGAGCCAGGCTTTATGTAATGGGCAGGATGTAATCAGAGGGAAAATCACAAAGTACCTCTTACAAACAGCCACAGATATGCTGCCTTAAAGAACAGCCAAACACGCAGACTGAACAGCAACATTTCTTTTCACAAACCCATTATTCTAAATGTTCCTTTCTAACTTTCATCTCTTTTCTCTTCCCCATCTCTAGGCACTGACTCACAGATGCTGATGGAGATGGGAGGAAATGGCAGGGAGGCTAACTTAATTTGGGTGAGCTGAGCTCCAAACAGATTCATGTGACTTGCAGCAGGTCCACTGTTAGTCCTGGTCACAAGTAGCTGATGATGTGGGCGAGGCTGTGGAAGACACACTCATCCAGATCAGATCTCTGAAGCCTTAGCTCCACATGATGCTGGAAACATTCCTTTAAAAATCAGCTTCATGTTTGTGTCATTGTATTTCACAATGTTATTTGTCCACAGTGCATTAATGTTCCACTTCCTGGCCACACCTTAAGCTCAGAAGGCAGATCGAGTGAGAGAGAGGCCACAAGACTCTGAGCCTCACTGTCGAGATATTAGCTTAAGATGCATTTTACTTTAATACAGTGGTGGAAGTAAGATGGGAATCTGAAGCCACTAAGTGGGGGGATGCAAAGGGAAAGGACATGGAAACCAGAACAAACTGGTACTGAGTGGTAAGAGAGGGCCAGGAAAACATTCTCCTCAACACTGTCAAACTACGCCCAGTCCTACATCCAGAGTTTTAACTGGGGTGACTCAGGAGAAACCATCATTCTTTCCAGGCTTTCAGCCTCAACACATTTTCTGTTTGGGGTTTGGATGCTTATTGCTCAGTGGGCAGAATAATCATCTTGAAGTCAGAAGGTTATAGGTTCTATTCTTCTCTCATATATTGATGTAGCCCACGGTAAGGCACAAAGTTTCTTACAGATCTTATCAGTGTAGAAATGTGAGCACACATTGGTGAATGTGGTTTTAAAGTGTAAAGCTCTTTGAATGGTTGGTATGACTGGAAGAGTGTTATATAAATTCAGTCCTTTTTTCCCATAAATGAGCTGATAAACAGCGCTAAGACCAATGTTCCCTCTAAGCTGCGCGCCTGCGCAATCGCGCACTGCTCGCATATTTTCAGCGCACAAGAAAATCTATGTAGCGCATAAAATAAAGTCCAACGTAAAGTGGACATTGAGTTCAGACATCAGTTTTGACTATGGACCGATAAAAAAATGTTTCCGTACTACTTTGCGATCAAACTCAGTGAGTGACAGGAATCCAGCCAATGATACAATACGGTTCACTTTCGCTACGCAGCCAATCAGCGCATGCTGATTGGCTGTGTGTACGTGGGTTACGTGCCTTGGTCATATGCGCCATGCAGGTGAGAATGATGCGGTAGAGTTAAGAAACATGAAAGCCATCACCTTATTATGTCTACGTGGGACATCCACTCACCAAGCCAAAGTAAAAAAAAAGAAATGCACTTCTTCTAAGATCAAATGGAATCAAATCAAATGAAAGGAATGGTCTGAATTTGATATTGAAATGTTGAGTTCAGATTTTTGACTATGGATAAGCAGACATTTGTACACTGGCAAAGAAGTATGAGGCCATTCTCCTCCACCCACAGATTATGGAGGCCATTAACAGTCAATATGCTGAATTCAAGTACATAAAGCAAGAAGCAGACTGACCCATCAACCTGGGCCAAGTGTACAACCACTGGAGAAGTGAGAAGGGCAGACGTGAAAAAAACTGTAATTAAATATTTTACAAGAATTTATACTGCATCACAAGCTACAGAAAACATTTCATTGTGCAAAATGTGAATGTTTTAATATGAACAAACATTTATGTCTGAAAGGTGTAATGTCTCATTTCTCACCCTGACTGAAGCAGGACTCTTACTTATAGCATGCATCTCATGAACAGCAATGTTTTCTTTTCTTTTTTTTTATTTTAATTGAGCAAATCACTTAAATTAAAAGCAAACGAATGAAAATTGCTGATGTAATTTGATTTTTTTAAATAAGCCATTCAACTTTCTATGATCCCAGATTTATGATACTTGTGCGTGGCCACGCCGTGTACACTGATGACGCTCACAGTGGTCCTCAGTGTGCCCAGGAAGCTTGTGTGTATGCCCAGACACATGAAAAATTAGAGGGAACATTGGCTAAGACCATTCTCCTGGCTCTGATTGGTTGGTCTGACACAGCTGTGTATTTGGAATATCAGTTACTTATTTTAGCAGCGTCACAGGGAGAGGTAGAGGAGCTGGATTTTTTCACTGATTATCTGGCTCTTGTCACACCATCAGGACAGGTAAAGGTTCCCCAACTACAGCTACACTAGTTCATGTAGCAAATTCTGTGGTTGCTGCCCCGGAAACTAGGAGAAGTTAGGGAAGCACCAATCCACTTTTTTCACTTCTGATACCAATACTGATATCTGGTTCGAGGGTTAGTATTGGTTGATACCAATCTGATACAGAAAGACAAGCAATTCAACATTTGAACTGACTTGAAATGTTTCTTTTTATAAACACAGATATAAATGTACTGAATCTCAAATTTATTTGATAATACTGCACAAGTATGACACATTTAAATACATATGAGACTTAAAATAAATTTTGTCACAACAAAAAACAAAAAAACACAACTTTACGTTCAGTCAGTGCATTAAGTGGCATTACAACCAACGTAAAAATAATAATAAAGAAACATTCAGCTGACGTGGTTAAACAATAAAAATAAAATGCAACAAATCATCTTTCAAATGGTTCAGAAAGTTCAATTAGGAATTCTAAATATAATGTAATATAAATAAAGCATGATGTCACTGAGAGCACTGAATAGATCTGCCCATATAGATCAGGCATATTGTCACCAATACCTGATGTAGATTTTTTTATAATATTGGGGCTGATACAGATATTAATATTGCATTAGTACATCTCTGGAATAAATAGAGGCGTGGTCTGTATACTGACCACACCTCTCTTCAACACTGGGGTTTCTGGACACTGGGACCGGTCAGTACGGTTTAATGAATCAAAGGCTCTCCTACAGTCTCTACTGCAATGCAGTGAAACCTACAGCGTGGCCTGCTGCCAGGACAGGGACAGGAACAGAACAGGTCAGACACGAAGACGGGATACGTACAGATGTAGAAGGAGGTGGGGGCATGGGCTCCGTCCACTTCAAGTGACATCAGGTTGCTGATCTTTTGGTCATGTCTCAACCAAAGGGCCACGCCCAGGATCACACCTCCAGCAAGCTGCAACATACAACAAACATCTTAGTAAGATTCAGTCAGGGGACTTCAGATTAGCAACATTTCTGGACAATCTTCACATTACTGAAATGTACAGAATTTAACTAAATGAGATGTTGATGTTGAGTCAAAAAAAAGTTCAATCAGACAAAACCTAAACACCTTAAAGGTTCTTCACAGTCAATTTAAAATATTATGTCCAATGTGTCCTAATTAAAGGAAATGACAAGGAAATATGTGGATAATTATGCACTGCATTTTGCAACAAGCCTTCAAAGTGTCATGGGAATCTTCACTTTAATGTAAAGTAACAACAGCTGTGGTGAGTGGATTGAAACTACATTAACCTAACAGCTAGGATTTGACCAGAACCACACCAGAACTCTCAGATTTCATCTTTTAGACAGCAACACAGAAACTTTATTTTCAGGAAAACAGCAAGAAGAAAATCCAGATGTCTGATTTTATGAAATATTCTGAAACAAGGTAGTGACTTCCTGTCTAAAATACTGCTGGCAGACATGTTGTTAGTTTCAGAGCCATTCTGTCAGTGGTCACTACAGATCAACAGGTCTCTGTTTATTTTGGAGCATGAGTGAATCACCCAGCCTCATGTACCTGTTCCCCTTTATTAAAGCTTTAGATTCCTGTGCTGAGCAAAGTGTGTCATCCTGTCACCATGGAAATGTTGATTTCTTAATTATGTAATGGGAGAAAAAATCTGTCATTGGAATCCTATTCATAACTTTCTCTTGCATAAAATTAAAATGCTAAATAATTGTTCTGAAGGCTCTCCGCCCACAATAGACAGGCGTCTCCCACTCACTGTCTAGAGTTCATTTCATTAATAAGATAAGTAACTGATATTAAATCAAAAACTGATCTTTCGAGATGAAGCACAAAATGCATTAGATGCATCGTTCTCTGTTTAGCTGTACGGCTCTTAAGCTCCTGGCCATACGACACCACCTACATCACAAGATGCCTGTCATTTCTGCCATAAAGCACTGATGAGTTTCTTCACTATCCAATGCAAACCAGGAATGAGAGGAGTGGAATAACTGTCCTGATTCAATAATCAAGTAATCGTTACCTGGAGTAAACAGACTCCAGCCAGTTAAACTGTTCTACCCAGATCTCCCCAAGTCTCACCTGCTTCACATTCTGAAAATAACTAAACTTCAAACTGAGCACCTTTCGCTATCCAATTATTGTTTGGTTATTGCAAAAATTTATTAACTAATCTACTGATGGCAACCGAAGAAATCCTATGTTAGCATTTGTTTCAGGCAATACAATGTTTAAAATCCCCCAGAACCAAACATGGAGAAGCAGCATTCAGCTTCTATTTAGCACTAATCTGGAACAAACTTCTGGAAAATTGTAAAATATTCAAAACACAGACTTCTTTTAAATCAATAATAAAACCCAGCTGGTTAGAGCTGCTTTTGAAGCATAAATGAAAAGTATTTGTTTTGATGTGGAATGATGGCACTTGACAATTGATGACTGTGTTCTACAACTTTGTATTTCTTATGTTTATATGACGTAAAGCACTATGAACTTCCTTGTTGCTGAAATTTGCTATACAAATAAACTTTGATTAATTAAAAAGGAATTGAATATTTGTTTATCTGCATCTTTTAATATAGTTCTAATATTATTGTGGTTAAATGAAAAAATTACAGAATTTTGTCAGTTTCTTCATCAATAATTGCTTACTAACATGTGTGTTAGCTGCACACCCTGCTGTGATACACTGCATGTAAAAAAATAAGTTTTTTTTTTTTCAAACTTATCACAGAAATTGATGTATTTATCAGTGGATATGTAGAACTACATTATTCATGTCTTTCTGCTTCACACAATGTATGTAATGAAATTATGAATTAATTCAATTTTAACAGCACAGTTTTACAGGAAACTCTGTTCAGTAATAAATAACCTTTTTTTTATGGGAACTTTGAGCTTTTATGTATGGTTTGTAATTGTTTACTAAAGTAAGCATCAGCTGCAAACCCTCCTTTGTCAATGACATGACCAGAACTTCTTCAAAACAATCACCAGATATTAACACTTTCTAACTGTAACACTTTCTAATTGCATGCTGGAGGAAAACAGAAGCTTTGGACTCAGTCTTTTGAGGCTAACGGGGTTTCTTCTGAGACAGTATCAAAAATTGAGAATACCTTGTGATCTATGAAACAAATAAAAGCTGTGAAACATCTTTCATCTGTCCCTTTCCAGTGAAGTGAAGAAAGATGCAGACAGGAATGAGTTTAGTCTGTTTGGAAGGATGAAAAAAGCATAGAGCAGAATTGCTCCTTTTTTTAGGCGAGCCAACTGCTGCTTCTGAGAATAGAGTTCAACCAAAACAGAAATCCCCTCCCTGTCCTCCATCTCTGTTAGTCAGGTCCATTCCAGGGCTCCTGCAAGTTACTGCCTAGCAACCAAATAAACAGCATTACTGCGAAAGTTCAATACACACACACACACACACACCACTCAGAGAAACAGCTACCACAGTTCGACTCAGGGCTGGGCCTTGATTTTTTAATGTCGTGTTTGAGTGACCGCTTTGGAAGTTGGGGCATTTGCTTTAATTCCTCCAGTCCTCATAGACGACTTTCAACGCAAGAAAGCTGCACGATATCTTACTCCTGTTGTAGATGATTGCTAAAATCACATTGTTCAAAGATAAAAGGGGATTTCACCACAGTTAATGTATTCTCAGAAGGCCAGCTGCAGCACTGTGATTCTCTCTACTTTGCTGTAATGTGCTGCAGCAGACGAACTGATGGTCAATAGAAAGAAACATTACAAAAACTAAACGCATCAGCTGAAGAGGCAGCTGCTCTTCATCTGAGGACCAGCATTTACAGGATTACTGTCTTTGTTCCCAACTAACTGTAAATTGTTGCTAGACTCTCCTTTGGTGGACATTTGTACAGGGTTACATTTTTTGGTGGTTACATACAATTTATTTTATTTATTTACATTTATTTTAAAATCTATAAACCATAAAATAAAATAAACATTTAAAACCGTCCATTTCATCAAAGCTGAAGCAGAGCTCTTAACACACAGAAGTCCTCCTGGCTCTTGCACTACACACACACTTTTTGAGACGTACTGGTTTAGCATGTAAAAGTCATAAGGCATAATAGCAACTCACATGAAAATATCCAAACACCTATCATTAATATAATATAAATGAAAGGATTCCAATGGATTATAAAACTTGCCTCTTCCCAGAGAATCGACGAACAAAAGGGAAGAGGAAATTAATAACTTAATATTTGTAAAGTAAGGCGGAGCTGGAGGACCCAACACCTTACAGCAGACACAGAGGAACACAAGGACAGTCAAGTATAAGCGGATAAATACATTAAAAGAAAACATACAACTATTAAAGCAAACTCTGAGCCGCCTACGAAAAAATCAGACTGGCTTTGGCTAAAGTGTACTCTTGTGCAGTATGACCAAAATAAACACATGAATCTAGTCAGTGGTAGGGGTAGAAATGGCTTGTGGTCTTTTACCAAAGACAAAAGTGAAATGCTATAGCTGCCAAAATCTGATGCCACTCCATTATTTTTCACCTCGTGAAGAAGGAAGTTGTGCTCAGAGTCTTCAGAGGTTTTGGGTTGTTTCAAAAGGTTTGGTTCATCTGACACAGTGCAGTGTGAAAACGGACCACAGCGGCTGAAAATGTAACAAATGTTCCAACCTAACTGCTTTTATCCGACTATCAGGTGGGAAAACATCTGCTGCCATGCTGGCATTAACCAGAAGCAACATTTCTGAACCAAACCAGATCATGTCCAAACTCTAACCATTATGCTGGCTCTCAGTTGAACATTTGGAAGAGCAGGGATCACATCAAGGTCATTTGAGGTTACAATGACCATACCTGCTTATTTAAGACATCTCAAAGAAAACACTTTCTTGTCCTGAATATAAAAAGTGGGCAGCCTGAAATAAAGCTTTATGTGAACTTTTAGTGTGGATTTGAGATTGAAGTTATAGTAACATGTAGTTAACTGTATCTGACAATAAAAGAAGTGTTGGCAGTGGTATAGAAACCCAATATGCACACAGAAGAATTTCTTGTGATAAGAATATATTTTATGTCACTTCTTGAACATTTTGTTGTCCAGGTTGCAAAATGCAACTTAGGAGCTTGTAGCTCCACATTCTTTTTATTTTTCAGTGAACTGGAGAGAAATAGATAAATAACTTTGAACCAGGAACATAAAGGTGTGTTTGAATAACATGGCAAGCTAAAGCTAGGATGTGCCAGATCAAAATAAATGGAACGCCCATGAATTGGCAGATGTAGAAAGCATTCTAAAATATCTAAAAAGAAGAGTTTTCAGCACGAATGTGCTTCCTGGTCGTGGATTCCTTTTCATATTCCACTTTGCGATTTTATGACTCAAATATTTGGGACTGAAAGAATTTCCTCCTGATATATTTTCCAAACACATCAAACTTATTCAGCCTTCATAATTCAAAACTTTTGACACCAACAGGTGCAAGAGTCCCGAAGAGATCATGGGACAAGATTTATGTGATCCTAAAGACTCGCCTGAGTCACTGAACCAACGGCCATTTGGTTTCTGAGCTGAACAGATGACGGCGTCGAAATTAGATCTGCCTGGAGAATACTTTTGCAGTTATTGGCACAGTTAACACTAATGCCATTCTACCAGTTCAAATTGATAGCACCTAAAAAGGAAGACATGAATCTACATTTAATAAACTAAACACAAAAAATGTTGTTTTTTTTGCTATTCCCCTGCAGTTGTATTTTTAAATATAAGAGGAAAAGTATTGTTTTTATGCGATGTATAACTTCAATGTTGAATTCCCCCAAAAAATATTTTCTTCTTTTTGCATCGAAAGATATTTTCCCACAAAATCATCACTGAATGCTCATGGATACCAGATCCCACCTGATGAAGCATTTAGGTTTCCTTTGTCTGAGTCTGTTTGTGATTTCAAACATTCTCCTCACATTCCCCAGAGGAAGAGAACTCAACTGCAGACGGGCCAGTCCACTGCCCAGAGCCTCTTCTTCCTCAGCCACGCCTTTTATGCTGCAGGGAATTGTTGTTTAACACTGAAAAGACCACAGGACATGGCGGCGTGTTTTTCCATAGAATCCATGAATACTAAGACTGCGTTCGAATACATTGTAGCAGAAAAAAGAAAAATACTTTTTAGTGTTCTCACATATGAGAATTCAAGAAAGAAAACTTTGTTGAATGAGAAGCAGTGAAAACGGAAACAAAAAGGTCATTTCTTTACATTTCTATAATTGTGGGAAAGCAGAACCTATGTTTCCCCACCGACTTCCCCACCACGGTCTATTTCTGCCAGCTGCAGAAGTGGGATCTAGAATGTTGAGCATGCTGGGGGTTGGGGTCCTGTTTGCTGTTCCCGTAAGTCTCCTACAAGTCCACACAAACCCTCAGTTCAACTAAGCACCACCACACCCTGTAAAATCACTTCACTTACGCTTTTATCAATTCGTTTTTTTGTAAAGAATGACAACATAAAAATATCATGTTCCGTCTAGGCATAAAATTATCCTTTTTTACATATTACTTAAGAAGAATTTCAAAGAAAAAGACTTTCCAATGATGTCGGAAAGTCTAGGAAGTATGATCTTAAGAAAGATAACTTGATAAACTATAACAGTGTCTTTCTTTCAAGTTAAACTCAATAAGCCAGACTGAACCCTGACTCCCAGCGCTGTGGGGGCCCGATCGCTTGTTGTCAGACTCAGACTTCTTCCTGTAGCTTTTCAGAGTTCTTTGTGACTTGGTTGTTTGTCAGGTGTTGTCGCACTGCCGCTCTGAACTGGAGGGTCGCATGTGATTCCTATTCTAAATATGTAGCTGAAGGTGCGAGGCATCATTTGGCTATGGAAATCTCGACAAAAGCCAGTTTTCATGTGTGCAATTACCATATTAAGCATTAATATTTCTGTGTAGGAGCAATGTGCTAAGCGTTTGAACTTCAGATAATGAGCTCTCTTTTGCATCTTGGCTTTTGAAAATATTTCCAGTCGCAGAAAACAAAACCAATAGGTGGAAACCTTTCAGTCTCAAGTAGATAATTCTATTTAAAAATTAAAGTTACAGTATTAACTGTTGCTGGTTTTCAAAACCAATTATATCAAATTAGATGTCTCCTTTTAAGAGCTGTGTTAATGTTATAATAGGTGGAAACAGTTGTATTTTTATTCCAGGTAAAAATTACAATCTCATATTAGTCCATAGCTAGAATTCACAAGACACTTTCACACACATTAATTAGCTCTTTGTGCATTGTAGAAAATATAAAGCAATAGCCCGATTTGGATATAATTTATTTCATATGTAGACCATTTCCACTTTGTTCACAGAGCCGGTGGTGAGACTCAAGTCCAATCTTTTGCTAAATTTCAGGGGCTTTTCATCATCTGATAATTAAATGCAACTGCAGTCAAATTTCTGTGTGAATGGTTTATGACACTAAAGCAACCCGCATCCACAGAAAAAGAACATTGATGTCACACATCAGCATCCTTCTTACAGAAATGATAATGTATGGAGTCATTGATGGATCAGTTTTAAAGTTTATTTAGCGAAGGAAGTCGGCAGTATGATCACAACATCATAACTCAAAGGAAGCTAATAAAAAGAAACAAGAACTGCTGCAGAATTATGACACATGCATCATAACAATGACGTAAGAGTCAGATAGAACTACCGTACTGCAGATGGATTCATATGGAAGTGGCACCGATCAGATTTTTTTTGAGAGGTTAAAAGATTGGAATTGGGCCTTTCAGACGAGTGAGAAAAATCTGATTTGGGTGAACATAATGTAATGGTATGTAAATATTCGATTTGGACAGAACTGGCACTTCAAGATTCAGTATGAGAAAGCAAAGTTGTGGGGAGTGTTACAGGCAGTTTTAGGAGCTAACTGCTGTTTGAAGAAATGAGGAATGTTCACGAGACACAGATGATGTTCTGTAGACACCTCAGAAGCTCTCAATGCTGTTTGATCCAAGTTGCCAAGCTTCATAAAGTGATGGTAAAGCTCCCAATTCTGTATGTCAGGTGGAAAATGGTAAACCCTTCATCCGCCTGTTATTTCTGTCTGATGTGTTTACCATTTATCTGGCTATAACTATAGCACCTAAAATATGGAGTAGATTGGTAATGTTAAAATAGTCAATAAAAATAAACCTCATCCTATATTTGTGTTTACTGTAAACTGAGTTGCCTTTTATATGAAGACTTTGTCCTGGTTAAATATGAATGCAGTAATTCTTCCCCTCCACTATCTGCACTGATTACAGAGAGATGCTTGACTGAACTGAAAAACTAACAAGTCTAAACTGCTTGTACTTTTTGTGTGTTCTTAAAAATTGTCTTGATCTAATGCCAGAAAGAGACTTCATGTGCAATAGGTTATTGTCTTAACAATAGCTATTTTCACAATCAGGTGTCCAAATTTTAGGCTGAGGCACTGAATCTAATTAAGAGAAAAAAAGGGGAAAGCAAAGTACAAAAGTAAGCTGAAAATGGTGACGTTAAAGTACAAACTCATAGGCAGTTAGGAGACGGGTGAAAAAAGAAAACTACCCTCAGATGTTTCCATGACTCATTTACCCAGCACAGAGCTTTGACTCACCAAATGGAAACCACCATGTCATCCCCCTCCACGCGCACACACACACACACACACACACACACCCACACACACACAAGTTGGGTGGAGGATGGAATCCAAACAAAGCCTTTCTCCAGAACCAATAGGACTTAAACCCCAGAAAACCTGCAAATCTTACACACTGGGCCAGAAACTTTCACAAATGAAACAAAATATGGGGGCTTGAGTTCATACTGCGGGTCTACAGACGATATTTACAGGAGACTATTTAGAACTGATAGAAAATCAGGGGCGAAACGCCCGGCCCCCCCGGGGCCCCCCACCCCCCATCCCAGTCCTGCCTGATAAACTGCCCCGCAGTCCTGATGGGAATGTCCCGTTAGGTTCATCAAACCAACCAATGGAATGAGCATCAGTCTAAACAAACAACCCTGGCCTACAATTGAAACAGATCTATCAATAAACGTGCAAAAGAAGAACGCGGAGCTCAGAATGAAAAGAAAAATGGCGCATTGAGATCAGCGTCGATTTGGATCTCTAACGGACTCGCAGCATAAACAAACCTGGCAAAGCAGACGCGACGGCCCTGCGCAACAACGCGTCTGTTAAGCAGGTTACCTACCCAGAAGATGAAATTTAATAAAAACAGCAGGTATTTCATGAATTTGGTGCAGCCTTCGACTCCCATGGCGGTCCGGTATCCAGGCAACTGGCAGTGGAGTTGTAGAAACGTGGAATTGCGGGCGAATAACGGACTGGAGCCCAACTGGGAACCACAGACTTGACTTCCAGTGCTGGAGAAGGCAGAGGAGGAGGCAACACCCAGATCCCCTCCTCCTCTTCCTCCTCCTCCTCTTCCTCCTCTGGCTCCGCCTCGCCTCTCTGTAATCCGTTTACGGAAAAGTTTCCAATCATAGCAAAGGACGCTGACACGCTGCGAAGACAAGCCCATTTAAAGAGAGCAATATTTGTTTTGTAATAGATAATGTAATTTTTAATTACATTATCTATGGCGTTCCAAAGGTGCCAAAAGTGTTTGCACATGGCTAAATGTGGAGACTGCACTTAGGTTGCCGATATCTACTTGTACTTTTTGTACAAGTAGAGATAGTACTGCTCGAGTCTGCTTAACTTTCAAAGGAGCTTCAGGTGGAAAAATGATCTTTTACCAATCTGAGAAATCACTGAACATTTTGAGGTGTACTTTACATTTTTTGTTCAATTTGTGATATCCTCTCTCAGTGTGCAGAGAGCTTTATATTCTATGTGCAACAAATTGAGTCACTGAAAGAATCAGACTGAGAGGGATCTCCAAGTCCATATGCATAAACTGACTGGGATGCAAAATAAAGTGGAAGAGACTGGAATGACAAAAATTCAGGCACAAAGTAGTCTTGTGAAATCATAAAACAAGATCAGCTGATGCTGAAGCATATTTGGTACAGAGGCCATCCACATGTCTGCTGAGTAAAAAGCCACCAAACTTCAAAATGCACAACTTTAGGATGAAGTCAAGGACAGAGTCAAAAAGGCTTCATGGAATGAGATTCCATTCCAGAGAGATTGCATCCAAACCTTTAATCACCACGTGTAATACAGTGTCAGATACAGTGGTGGAAAGTACATGACTGTTGGACTCTAGAGCAGGGAAGACATCTTCTCTGAGGGGAAGACTCACCCATCACTATTTGGCAACATAGTAATCGAGTTTGGGATGGTACAAGACATTATGGATAACAGGCTCTAAAAGGCCCCTTCAGTTCCTACATGTACAAGAACGCATACCAAGGTCTGAAATGACATCAGTGAGAGAACTGTCTGCACAGAGTCCTGACCTCAGCTTGAAACAACTCTGGGATGAATTGGAGCACAGATTGTGGGGCTGGCCTTCAGGTTCAACATCAGTGTCTGACCTAAAAATGCTTCTGGAAGAATGGTCAGATATTCCCATCATAAACATTTCTAAATCTTGTAGGCAGCCTTCCCAGAAGACCTCAAGCTTTATACCTGCAAAGAAAGGGAATGTATGTAAACTTCTGAATTTAAAAAATGATCTCTCTCATTATTTCTGTCTCTTATTACCTGTGTCATGTTCCATGTAGTAAACAGAAATAATTGTAGCAATACTAACAGGAAAGGTTAAGACTGATTTAATTTCAGAATGTGAGAAAAAAAATGGTTTCATGTCCTTTTTTTTCTTTCTGTTTTTTACAGTGTATGCAAATAACTGGAAACTATTTTTTTAAATGTATTTTTAAAAAGCATACAAAAAAGTGGCATTTATTACATAAAATTTCCTCTTGATCCCCAAGAGGAAATTTGTTGAAAACTACTCCATCATAGGCAATAAATATAAAGTTTGGAAAAGATGTATATACCTAAGAGTGATAATTATATGTGCGTCATTGTTTTATCTTACCATTCTTATTTAAATGATAGCAGAATCCCACACTAAACATTAATTTAGACCTTCTGTTCTTCAGTATTAAAAAGAACATAACCCAACAAAACCAACCCACAAGCATCAAATGACCTAGAGATTAAAGTCAAGATACAAATGTTCAAAAGTTTGAAAACAAATTGTAATAATAATTATCCTGATAATGAAGATTATCGTAATAATTATTGAACACTAAATTACAATAATTCATCACTCTCAATCCCTAAAGTGAACCATATGTTTGAACATGATGCCTCATGTCAGAAAGGCAGGCAGTGGTGAGTGGACAGTGGACAGTCACAACAAGACAAGTGGGATTGGATGAATCTGTTTTGTCTAAGGAAGATGCCAGAAAAAGATTGTTCATGTTGACCCAGATAAAAATACATTTACAAACACTAAAATTTCAATAATGTCTGACCTTTCCCAGGTTTTTGTCATGCAAAAATATAAATAGATAAGGAACATATGCAGTAGGGAGATGAGTGAGAGTCTAGGACTTAACATGGGAATGTGATCAATTAGCTTCTAAGTGACAGAGACTTCTGTCTTCATGGGTTCTTATTTAGAAAAGCATGCAGCAGGACTGATGTGTATTTAATTGTTTTAAAAGAAAAACCTATTGCTTTCCATTTGGAACACAGGGAGCCTTTGTTTCCTAAGAGAAAAACCCAAAGGCTGTTGAGAAAACGTTGCAGTGAAAGTATATACCCTTAAATTGTTAGTATCATAGATATAAAATGGTAAATGGATCAAATTTATATAACACCTCATACTGACCACTCACATTTATACACCAATGTACAGATCAGTAAGCAACTTGAGGTTAAGTGCTCTGCCCAGGGGCACATCAACATGTGAAAGAAGAATGCGGGAATCTAACCTCCAAGTGCAAGAAAACCACTTGCACTTGGACTGCAAGAGGTTGCCTTGAACGATGAAGGACAATGATTATTGTATGTCCCAACGGAGAAAACTTGTGATGGGCCTCAGACCTGGAGTCTGCTTTACTGCATATACCAGCCAAAAAATTTAATATCAGGACATTTAACCACAAACTAAATATCTGTAGCCAGCGGGTTTTATTTTTCAATAATTACCAAAACCTTATGATCATAAGCATGTGTGAAGAACGATTAACCAGTGACTGTACCGCCTGTACATCACACAAAAAGTGATTTCACTGTAAATACAGCACAGTATTGTGTAACAGTAGCACTGTGGCCTTGCAGGGAGAAAGGTCCTGGTTCAAATCCCAACCTGGGGCCTCAACTCCACACAGATTAAAACATGATTTTAATAGAACAGAATTTCACAGGAAAGCAATGACCAGACTACTCTAAGGTGTGAGTGTGTGCATTCCTGTTGTCTTATGAAGTACTCAGCCTTTTAGCTGTGTTTCTGCTCCACCATATCTGAATCCAATGTCCGACTGGCTGACCCACTTCCTAATTATGTAGTCAAGTTCTTCAGCATCCTGCCGATAACCTGAGGTGTGTTAAAGCAGAGACATCTAAAGTACTCAAGTATTGTACTAATAACGCCTCTGCAGCACATTGGCAATAGAGGGTTATCTGTGAAGCCATGCAGACGTCACTATTTTGTGAGTCATCTATCTTCTGTGAAGGTTCAACTAATGATGGAGTTGTAAAAGATTTTAAAAATGAGGAGTTTTAATAAATATAAAGTCATTGTAGGCCTATATATTTTTGATCATTTTTTGCACAATCATTACCGGATTTACATTAATTAATCTTAATGTTTGTGATTCCAAATATGCCCATATTTTCCTGATTAGACAGTCAGTGTTCATTGTAAGTTATCCCCACAGCGTGTCTTAACAGATGTACTCTCCTTTTATAAATACATAAAACATCATTTAATTTCAATGACATGAGTGTATGTAAATATTAGAATACAATGTAGCTGCTCCAGCTCTTGTCGTAACTAAATATGTATATTTATATATATATGTATGTATATTTTTTAAAATAAAATTAAAGTTAAATTAAATAACAGTAAGATTAATTTTACATTCATAAACCTTATTAAGGCACTTTAAGTGATTAATTTCAGTGAAACAGGCTTTGTAAAACAGGGAGCTGCCTTAGTAAAATATGGCCCAGGAAAAGGAATGCATCTCATTATGTATCTGTAATACTCATTGCCTGCAATGTACCAATAAAGTACAGAGCTAAGCTCAGTGTTTTCTATGAACAATCATCAATAACCTGGGCATGACGAATGGACGGATGGAGAAGTCAGCATAATTTCACAATAAATTGCATTATAATCTGTACATTTAATTCCTTTACACAAAATAAATATAATTGCATGACATTCAGATTTCATTTCCTCTTTTTACCCGTTATATATGTCAATATAAATTAATTCAGTCCATGTAGTTGTATTTTCCAGTAAAGATTTTCTGAAGTAATAATGCTGTGTTGTGTTTACTGGCAGAGCACATGCTAAGCTAACGTAGCAATGTTTTAATTATTGTGACTAACACTGAAGTCCAACTATAAGCAAAAGGATGCAGAGTGCAACAGCTTTGTGATGCAATTCATTCCAGTACTAAATAGATTTCTTGGATTTTGAATTAAACTGTAGCAGTTATTTTGTGCTGCTTAAAAACCAATCACAAAACTCCTACATAAACAAGGAGAAAGCTAAAAGGCCATCTGCTGAAAACCACAGAGCCCACAAGGAGGTCTGGTTAAACTTTTTGTCATGGCAAAATCCATGACAAAAAGATATGCATTCATTATTCATTGATTGTTCAGTAATCTTTGATGAAGGACATGAATCGTTGAGACTGCTCTGCCAGCCTCCCTGAATCAACTGGTGGACCGAATAGGCCGATCAGGGGAGATGGCAATATAATGATCTGCAGAACCACAATAGAGACACTGATTAGAGTTAATGTTTTTGACTTTCTTAAGGTTTTAGTCTGGTCCTGTTGAGCTGAATGAGATCAGGATAGTGAGAAGATCAGAAAGAGAGAGACTGACAGGAGCTGGAGGGACAGGTGAATAGTTAGTCCTGGAAGTGGGATTTCTTCTAGATTTGTCTCAGGTGTGTTCTCTCTGGCTAGATGAATAGCCAGAGAGATGAGTTAAGAATTTCCCGTTCATCTAACCTAGACAGTTTGAGCTGAAGCAATGGGGGTTGGAGAGAACCAGAGGAACACAAATATTCAAATGATCCAGATGTTAATTGGTGATATCCTGTTAATCACAGAGCAATCACGTGATTGGATGACGGAGTGCTGTTCAGAAAGAGTCCTCCCGAGAGAGTGTCTGCTGGGTCCGATTGAGGGCCTGAGTGTTCAGTCAACGTTTCGCTATGCTTCTGGCCCACATGCAGAACACTCCCAGGAGGCAGTTGAAAAAGGTTCAATTTATTGAACAATCAATGAACAATGAATGTGCATCTATGTTCAGGAGCCTGGTGAATGTGAACACTGGAGACAGTAGAGGAGTGGTGAGTAACAGTGACTGATGACGAACAAGTTACTGACTGGAGCTCTTACTGGCGGAGAGGAGTCTGCCAAGAGGGGGGGAGGGAGTGATTGGGTTCCAGGGTACGAGTGTTGAGCTGGAGTTGTGCAATACTGGGAACCTGGGATCCGTGGAGCGGTCTGGTGGAGGTTGCTGGATGGTAATACCATTGGAGGGCGGACAGGTCATGCAGCATAGGTTTGGAGGAAGAGGAGCGGAATGTTGCCAGTCATGGGATTTGAACCAGAGATGTTCTGAGAGTCTTGAAAACCCAAAGTGAAACCAACACAGCACAGGGAGCAGAATCCAGAACATCACAGAGAACACCTTTAAATGAGATCATAGGGTTTGTTACAAAAATCTAAAAAGCACAGGGAACACAAAGAGAACAAACATTGGTCAGGATAGTGTACCATGTATAGCTGATACTCAGGCACCAGAGAACTGGCACCTGGCTCCTCTTAAGCTCTGGCTGATGAAGCAGATGCCTTGCTGGTGTGAGTAATTAGCTCCTCAGGGCCTCCAGCCAAGGAGCAGAAACCTCCTGGCTCCCTCTGCAGCATCTGAATGAAACATCCACACAGACCCCAAACCCCAGCTCCCCAACACTTCTTAGGGTCATAACTTTCTTAGGAAAGTTATGACACTTTTTGTCTCTGTTTAATATTTAATGCTACCAAATAAAGCTAAGATAACAGCTTCTTAAGCCATGATGGAAGGAAGTGACCACTATTTAATCATATTCCAAACAGCAACAAAAATGAGTTAAGTTAGTGACCGACTATATAAAACTATGTTTCTAGGTAAATTAGGAACAAATGCAAGTTATGCGGTCTTCAAGTCAGCGCTTTAATCTGAGAATGACACCAAGTCCAACTTCACTGTGATTCCAATTCCAAGGACTCTTCTTCAAGTAGCAATGCAAGTGTGAGCAATGAATTTTCTTCTATTTTATTTTAAACACTGCAGCAACATGTTCACTAAAGTAGGGTTTGTATTTTGCGCAAAAACAGATGTTTTCAATGCAGCCATTTTGGATTTCAGGATTAGAAACTTTCTTTCCCACTGCATTTTTTAATGCCACAAGTCTGTTTGAAAAGTTTTCCAACTTTTTCCCATTAATTTTTAACTTGAACTTCAAAATTGTTCCTTGGGCTTCTAATGTTGCACATTTTATAACAAACTGATTTTAAGTGCTGCTTCACTGTTTCAAAGATGATATTTGTTACAAGCTCAAGAGTCAAATTTCATCATTGTGAAACTACAGACATTTTCACCTTTTACATCTCATATTATAACTTAATAAAACATCAATGATCTATTTTAGCATATGCAGCATCATATCCACAAGCAAAAAAAATAGGCAGAGCACAACCCATAATCACATTTAAATAGATTGTGAGGTCAATCAAAATAGATCGCAAACTTCTATTTTGTGATTTTTACTCTTCAGTCTTTCTGGAGTTTGCCGAGACGACGTAAGGCATCTTCAACAATGTCCAGCTCATGCCGGATGTCTTTGACCATGTTGTTGATGTTGGAGGTGTCCCTCAGAACGTCCACACTCTGTGTGTAGGGGTTGTAGTTCACTGTGAATGGACGCTTAAGGGTTTTGGCAAACTCCCTGTTGGCAAAAGCAGAGCAGTTTATTCTTAGCCAGGTTGAGATTCAGACGTAATATCATCTGAAGTAGAAAGGAAAACATGAAAGATTTGAACCGTATCATTCCTTTAATAAATGAATCACACCTGGTTGCCTTTTGACCATTGTAAAACTCATCTCAGAAATATTCTACCATCTAATAAAAATTTCACATCAGAAATATTATGCCTGGATCAGACAGTTTTTATAATGGAAGTCTGTTTGGTTTTTGTAGGAGCACAGTCATAACTGATTTTACAGGTAAACGTGATCAGAAGTGTGCAGACCATATAAATTATCACACAAGTTTTCATCCAAAAGTTTTGATTTGTTTCTCTTAACCAACAGAGAACCTCTGTAATGGTGAGAAACCAGCTCAACAGATCATCCACTGAGGTTTAGTTCACAACAAACCTTTCAGGCTATTAAAAACCCAGACAGAGCCTTAAAATATTTATTAATCATTCAAAGCTATAGTTCACAGACTATAATTTGCAAACATCAATTTTTATCACAGTCAAGCACCTTTCAATAGTGCTTTCAGGTTTTCCAGTTTCAGGTTGTCTGTATTTTTTGTACAGCTCAACAGGTGTTGAGCTCACTATGAACAGTTCCTGGTCTAGGCCCAGTGTGCATATCCACACCCATGATCCCACCAGGATCTTCCACGTTGACCAAGTTTATTCACTGAGGTCTCACATATGATTATAGATAAGCATTTATTCTTTTGACGAAAGAGAAAAAAACGAGCTGCACATTTTATTGTGCCAAATCCAGAGCTGATAACTTTCTAGTGGACAAGAGTAGAAGGCAATAGAACTCTCTCTGATGTAAAGGGGTCAGTTGGGCTTTATTGGCCTCTCTCTTCATTGATCTTGTGGTTTAGCTGTTTGCAGCTGCAGCAGCTTGCAGTCAGTCCTAGGCTGAGCTCCAGATCTCTCCCTGCCTCATGGCTCCACTCAGCAGCACCGAGAGTTTAACCATTTCCAATTCTAGAACGTCAACATTTATCAACCAATGTGTTCTTCAGTGCCAAAATGAAACTTGTGATTATTTATACAGTATAATCAGTTCTATGTGGAGAACATATATGTTGTTATTAGCGGTGCACCTATTATTCATCAAGCTGATGATTCAACCCTGATTTTCTTAAGAAGATCAGTGATCTTTCATGTTAAATCAAACTTATCCATGAAACTTATGATTTTATCTTCCTCAGCAAAGGTCTACTGTCCTCTATTGCTCTGTTGTGAATCCAACATGCCAGACCCACCAGGTCACATCTGCACAATTGCAGTTAACAATAATGACCTCACTGATGCTGACTCAGCAACTTCCCTGCTATATTTAACAATATTTCAGTTAAAAAATAAAGCATTACAATACATTTTGGCTTGAATTTCAATGGGCAAGTTATGCTTTTTAACCCTCTCAGGCTCAAATTACTTGCAAAGACTAGCTAAGTAGCATTTAGTTAGGCAGATGTTGCAAATCTGCAACATCTGCCTGGAGAGATGTTAAAGTCTGTCACTCAGGAAACGGCAACTGGTGCAGCTAATAATCGAAATCAAATAGTGACCCTGTTTCTGTATGAGTCCTGGATCAGGACTCTCATTTCATATGAAACCATGGTGATTTTTCATGTTGATTTGATGAGAAGAAATCCTGCACCAGATCTCAGGTTGTCTTGCTGCTTTAGGTCTGTCCGGCCCAGCAGCTGTCCGGCCCAGCAGCAAAAAATTAAGATATGTGATCGAATTACTGGCTTATAAGGTAAAGATTCTGTTTAGTATTTCAGATTATATGTTTACTTATTTAATTATTTTTTTCAGGCTTTTGCCTCGCATCTCACTGGGACTGACTGCATATGTTTCTTAATTTGAATATCACTGAAGAATTCATCTTTCTGGGACCCAGGAGATTTAGCAAAAAATCGAATGGCTTAGATAAAGTTTGAAAACGTTCACATTACTTCTAATTACAACTTCACAGTTTAAAGTTATATAAAAGCCAAACAGATACACACTGACAAATTACACTTTAAATTAAATTAAAATAACTTAAATTTAATTTAATTTAATTTAATATTATTAATCTACTCCATGCCTCTGCCTTTTTTGATTTGGGTCCCAAATCAACACCACTAACATCATGTCAGTTCAAAGCAGGTGGAAAAAAAGCCCAAAAGAACTTCCAGTTGTAATTACTGCTAAATATAAAACACAAGGCACTCTGATATATTTATTTGGTTTAAAAAATGTGTTTTCCTTCATCCTTACAGGTATGTTAGTTTTTCTTTACTTGCCTCATTTTGTTCTTGGCTTCTTCGAAACTTTCAGCCACAAAGTAAACATCTTGGAATGTGGTTATCATGCACTCCTGGTTGCAGGTTACCACGGGATCAAACGGCCGGATGTTGGCCTCCCCAGACAGAGCATGCTGAGACCAGGCAGATTCATTATCAGGTTACAAATCTAGACCCACACTTCATGTTCTAACTGTGCAGAAATATTTGCTAGGAACATTTAATCAGGAAAACATTGTTTAAAAAAAAGTAGTGTCAATGCACCATCTAATTTTAAAAGTCACCTTAAGTTCACTAGCAGAGGAGAGAAGTCCAGCTCCATAGGCTCTCAGACCTCCATCCTGCTTACACAGGCCAAACTCCACCGTGAAGAAATAACACTACAACACCAGAAACAGAACATGCAAATGTTACAATGCATGCAAATGTTACAATGCACATCTGTACAAGTGCTTAAAATCACAAGATATGGGCTGGAAACACAGTTGGTATTCTCACTGTGGCAAGTTTCTGCACGTCTTCATCTGAGGCACCAAGCGATGCTAAACCAAGCTCTTGGGAGAACTGAGCGAAGCTGGGTTCTGCCAGCAGAGGAACATGGCCCAAAACCTCATGGCATGTGTCCCTGTATAAAACACGGATCAACAAACATTTGAACCACAACAGATGAGATAGGAGTTAAACTCATTGTGTGTGTGTGTGTGTGTGTGTGTGTGTGTGTGTGTGTGTGTGTGTGTGTGTGTGTGTGTGTGTGTGTGTGTGTGTGTGTGTGTACTCACGGTTCAGGTGTGTACAAAGGCTCTGAGCCATGACGAACATACTGAGTGCAGTGGAACACCCTGAAAGCGAGTCCTGCTAGAAAATCTCTTGGAGAGAGGTAGCCTGCTACTGGCCGGATGCTGAAACCTGAGCGCTCTGTTTACACACAAATATTCAGAATCACAGAGCAATATACAGAAACACACAGAAATACACAGAAAAAAGACAGAAACACAATCAGACTTGGGAAATACAGGACAAAATGCAAAACAGAAGAGAACTTGCTTATAAAAGCAAGCTCATATAGCATGCTGTTAGTTAATGAATACTGTCAGCATGGAGAAATATTATTGGAAGGAAAGAAAGTCAAATTAAAAAAAAAATTAACATGTTGCAAAAAAAAAAAATACAAGAAACAAAATGATGCTACTTCCTAGAATGTGATAATTTACGGTGAAATCCTTAATCATGTAATCAATGACTGCTGACATTTTAAATCACCCATGACAAATGGTGACAATTGACATTTTTAAATCAGTTGACAGCAACACCAAAAATATGTTTTTGATATATTTGTTAAAATGTCACCATGACAAGTTAGTGGCACGGTCATGTTCCTCATCCTGTCTTAATGCTCTCCTCACTTCCATCCAACTCCTCTGACTTCATAAATAACCAAGTAGTTTGCTCTGTATCAAAAATTTGATATCAATTTAGGAGGCACTTTAAATTTAACTAAGCATCTACATTCGCTCCTTTATGGAAGAATAATCTGTTTCACGCTGCCTTCACAGATGCATCATTTTTGCCATGCGATAATAAAGGGCTGAAGTATTTTAATGACTTTTACAAGGAATTTGAGAACAACATTTGGTAGTTACTCTTAATGATAATGTACTGAAAAAAATATTCAGACAAATTCAAAAATTTGTTTTTGCAGAGCTGGCACAGCTATAACACTCACCCATCAGGAAGCGTGACACATCCTCCAACTGAGGAATGTTGTTCTCACTGTATTTACAGTATCTGGTCAGCAGAGGAAGATTCTTCAGATACTCCTTGCAGGCATGGCTGGTATACAGCTTGTTAAGCTCCTGAAACACCACACCCCAGGTCCGCACCTCCTCTGCTGTGTAGTCGATACGAGGAATCTGATCACCACTGTTGCATATAAACAGGCATGATGGGTTAAAAACAAATATTTTAACATACAGAAATTTTGCAATATATTGTCTTATTTGTTTTATTTGACTACCAAAAGCAAATGTCACTTACTGTTTGAAGTTCATAGCCAAATCAGCAAAATACTTCCTCCTTTTACGGTAAATTTGGTCTTTAAATCCCTGTAATAACAATGTTGTTGTGTCTGAATTTGTTCTTTTTTTCCTTTTTTTTCAAACAGTTATTTGTTTTCATGGTTTTGACAACAAACAGAAAATGAGGAAAATCAACACAGAGGGTACACATACCGGGTGATCTGCATCTAATTCAGAGCCGTACATTAAGACCCTGTTGGAGCAGCGATCCAAATCCGAAATCCTTGTAGGAAACCATGGAACACATTCCAAACCTGATGGAAAATTGGGAATTCACTGCATGTTACTTACATGGTCATATTTGATTGTGAACATGTTTTACCATCATGTAGTAAAGAAGAGTTTCCAGAGGGAGTCATTTCCACTATATCGGTGTGTGTCCTCAGCAGCTCGGTCAGCTCCTTCAGTTGTTCATGCTCTGAATCACAGTTTATGAAGATCTCAAAGTCTGAATCTCTCCGTCTGGACTTGCGAGACTCAATATGAACCAGATGGACGTGTTTTTCCTGCAGCAACACAGTCAGAGTGCTCAGAAAGTTGTACTAGATAAATCAAGTCATTTTTAATTTATTTTATTTATATATTTCGAACATGATAGCAGTATAAAATAACAGACATAAACAAGAAATGCAATAGACATATATTGTTTTGAGCATAATCTTAACATGATCGAAAAGGAATAGGAGGAAGAAACTTATGAACGCCTACTCCATAAACTCAAACCATGTTTTCATATGAAGCCTCATTATTAAATAAAAATAAATAAATAAAACAGAGGTTAATCAATTTTTCGTTTAATCTATTTCCCCATCGTTTTTTTTGTTTGTTTTTTTTTGCCATGGACTCACCAAACACATATAAGTCTAAATGCAAGCATCCATACATCCATAACCACACACACTCTTATGCTTTAGCCTTAATATACTTATACACATTAGCGATAACGATCACCCATATTTCTGTATTATATGAAAATGGCCTCCTTATATTTTCTTTTAAATTGTATTAAATTTTATCTTTGTTTTAACTCCTCATTTAACTGGTTCCATGATTTACACTATGGATTGAAATACAAATTCTGTTAGATGACAGAAAAGGTTTTATCTTTCAAAGCATGCATATTAAATGATACCTGGAAAAGTTTCAGAGCTCTGATAAGACCCCCCACTTCATTCTTCAGAGTGAATATAATAGTTGCTGCTTTGTTTCTGGAGTTGCTTGGCTGTCCAGTCATGAGGTTGTCCTGGTGTCCATCTCTTCCATTCATCGTTATCTTGGTTTTTGGATGTGGGAATACATTTAAGATCATTATCAGCTTTACAGATTTAATTCTAGTTCAACAATGTTTCAATACAAACTAGTCTTGTTTCATTAGATATGTTAATCAAGAGCTTTATGCTAGTTTTATGACTAGAGGTAGTGTTGTTGTATTTCATAACAGTTATGCAATAAATGATAAATGTTCAAAGAAGCTGTCTGAAGGAAAAGCTTATATAATCCATCCCTTCTCCAGGTACATCACTGTTATGATCTCTTAAGTATTTTAGTGATATAATGTGCTTAAAATATTCCCAGTAGTAGCTCTAATAGTATTAATAACAATAATAATGGTAAAATGGATGCTAATAATGCTACAGTAATAACAACAAAGTTTCTCATATTCAGTGTAGACAATTTTCTTTTGCAAAGGTTTGAATTGTTTTGACAGTCAAACTGTCATGACTATAATAACTTTGCTGCCAACAGCTGATCACAAATAAAATACCAAACTTTTGTGATTAACAGAAATGCAACACATTAGGGAAAAGATTTTACAATTAGCACATCTATAATTGAACCTTAATAATATGAAACATATTACCAAACAATAATATATAATTCTTTTTATATTATTCAATTAAATTCTTAGGCACAACACCAGTTCTAAAGTCCTCTAGGGAAAAGACTTCAAAGTACTGTTGGTAGTTTATATAGAACCAAAATACATTAAAGATCTGCTGCTGCTGGAACAACCTTCCAGAACCTCTCAGGTCTTCAGGTTCTGGTTCTGCTCTGCATCCAGAACCAGAACCCAACATGGAGATCAGCATTCAACTTCTATGCACCACAAATCTGGAACAAACTTCTAGAAGACTGCAAAACAGCAGAAACCCTGAGTTTGTTTAAATCTAGGCTAAAACCCCAACTGTTTAGAGCCGCTTTTGAACCGCAATAAATGAAACATTGTCCAACATTTTGATGTGTAATGATGCCACTTGTAATGTTTCAATTGTTGATTTATGTGTTTTTATGATGTAAAGCTCTTTGAACTGCCTTGATGCTGAGATAGGCTATATAAGCAAACTTGATTGATTGATTTATTGATTGATTAACAAGCAACAGTATTTTAAACTTTTAGTGATCATTAAAAAATACTTCATTATTCAGGCTGCTGCAAAGGTGCAGGAGAAAAGCACAACCAACATAAGGAGGCTTTAGTCCTCATTGCAGGTTCGAATTCCAGCCTGATGACCTTTTCCGCATGTCTTTCCTCCCTAACTACCTACTTTCCTGACCTAATATCACTTTCAATTAACGGCCACTTGCGTCAAAAAAAATTTAATATTACTAGCTCATTTTCTGGCATCTGATTTCTGCTTTTGTGGAAAATAAATTAAGTTTCTGTGAATCAATTAATCAGATGCTAAACTAAATGAAAATGGTCTTTGAATAATAAATTCAAAGGTGACTTAAGATCAAAATGATACAGAAAATATTGGCAAAACAGACAATATTAGGTTTAACTAAAATTAGACTGAAAGCTTTTCTTCAAACATTATAGTTTATGCATTATTTAGAAAATCTGGTCAAAATAAACTCAAATTTTTTCCAAGAAGCAAAACACATCGACTGTACATTCATATTTTGAGATACTCGCCTTATTGTCAACCTTCTTGTCAGAATCATGGGACTTTCCTTTAGTTGGCTCCAGTTCATCTGGCATCTTGGCTTTTGTTGCTTCCGCTGCACTAGACATTTTATAACGTCTTAGAAAAAACTATGTGAAGTTCTTTTAACTAGGCAGAGGCAAACCAGAGTCCTTATGGATCACCTGCAGTCTGGGTGAGCGGCTGTTCGGTCAGAACCAACAGAATGAACTGCCTTGATGCTGTATTTATGAAGCCACCGGGTGGGAGGGGTCAGGCAAAAGAGAGAGGTTCAGTTTGAACAAGAGGAAAATTAGAACAAGTCATGATTAACACGGCCAGCTGGACACCACACTATCTGCTGTCAGGAAACGCTATTGTTACTTGTCATTGTTAGAATCTTTTCTGAAGTTGTCAGCCCCCCCCCTTCATTGTGTGGCACTATTGGATTGGTGTTTGCATTTTGCATATATACAGATAAATTCATCTCAAGCCCTGATGAGCTCTGAAAAAACTAGACAAAAAGTCTATTATTTGAGTAATTGGTCATTCTATCGATAATCCTGGACCTGCTCATCTCCACTGAGCTCCTTCAGAAAGAGAATCTTAAAGAATTGTACATTTCCCAAGAAGAGATGGTATCTGATGATGCTGACAAAGTGGTTTTCCTTCCTCTGCACTAAAGAAGGAGCAGAGAAGAGCTGCCACATTGAACTCATACCGCTGGCGCTACTCCAAGCAGAAAGCTTTCCCAGGCGCTGGGCCGCTGCTGTTCACTAAAACAGCAACTCAATGGATTTCACTTTTTATTTTCATCAGAAGTCTTGCTGCAGGCTTTTGGATCAGTTGAAGGCATTTATTTTTGAGGATTTCCAGAGAGTAAAGAATGAAAGTAGTGAAGCCCCGAAGTAACAAATACATGGAAGTTTTTTCAGCATCACTCATTGACAGGATATTTCTAATTTTTGCAATATTTCACAAGTGGAAGGAATAAATTTCTAATGCCACTAACAACTTTTATAATGCCCTTTTTATTAGTTTTATGAAGAATCAAACCTGGGCGTCAAGGTCTGTGGCCTTTTCACATGGTCAGTTGGCCATCAGGAAACCTTCCAGACCTCCCAATGGCCAGTCAGATCCAGTCTGAACAAGCCAGTGTGAGTGTGAGTCTGTGTGTGTGTTTCTTTTTTTTTTTTATTTTGCCCTACAAATAAATTTTATCCTTGTGCCCACTTTGGAACTTCATTTGCAGTGAAACAATAATTTACATATATAGGTAAAGACTACTGACTTCGTCCAATTTAAAAAAAAGAAACTTTCCAAAAAAGAAAGGAGAAAGAAATATGAGCAAACAAAAAAGTTCTTTCACCCTAACATATTCCAATATGAGCACATATCCACCTCAGACATGTGGTTCATCTATAATCAGAGATTTTACTCAGATTAGATTCTGAGCAGACAAGAAGTCTGTCTCATTTTTTAAAATTTGCCTGAGACAGCTGGCTGTCTGTAAAAGATTCTCCATGAGACCTTGTACATCTAAACACAATTCCAGCCGGATCTGATCCTCACTAACAACCCAGGATGAAAATGGCTGACGCAGGACTGCTGGCTAGTTAACTGCCAGGTTTCTCTGGGTGGGGAATCAGACCGGTGCAGCATATTTAAAGAAGCTTAATTAAAAGATGTGTGCTCCATCTAGTCTCTGTTGATACAATTAGAAAGCTTGTGCCTTTGTGTGGTAGTGCTTTCTTTTCCTGTATTGTCTCTGTGCAGGGTCATTCTGTAAGCACATGCTGGTTTTATATGTTAATTGTATTAAGCTTTGCTCTTTCTACCTCACTCAGTCATGTTGAAATCATTCATGTAGATAATAGATGCTGCAGTTAATTAGCTTTATAGAAAAAGCACCCTATTGTTTTTCAGGGCATATCGAAATGACACAATTTAGAAGATTAAAATGGTACATCCAAATATTTTACTATGAAATATTTTCCATGTATAAGATTTAGCGAACACAGAGATAATCTTGCTCAATAGAGATCAAGTGTTCTGGAAACTACATGCATTTCTCTCTTGGTTTTGAAATTCTTCTTCTTCTGAAAGGTATAAGTTGTGAAGATCAGAGAAAAATAATGGATGGATTTGAGCATATTTTTGAAAAAAGAACAGATTTAGAATAAGATTGAAACTCTTTTTAGCTGATGATAGCTCTGACATTTCTCTGACAGTTTATTATCTCTTAAAGAGGCATGAAGAGACTCCCTCTGACTCTATTTTCTCACTCTTTTTCTTAGGTGATACTCATGTATCTCATGAGGAGTTGCTTTTTTACTGTTGCATTTTTTGTCATTTAAGCAAAGACAATTGTGTTTTAACAAGATTTAGATCTCCTCTCGCTGAAGCAGGAACCCTTATTACAAGTTTATTACAAAAACTTGTAATAAGGGAAATAAAGTTTGCCTAGCTTAATGATAAACGATTATGAAGATTTTAAAAACAAGTGTCCTGTGCTCACAGTCAAATTTGCTTCTCTGTAGCATAGCAGCAGCTTCAATGTCATAAACTACATGTTTGGAATGAAGCCCTGCGGATCGCAGCCTGCGCGAAATGGAACGCAGCCGCAGTCAGTCTGGTTCCTGTTATTCAGCGCCTGTAGTGCTAACTGTGTAGCAAAACAACTTTAACAAAGTTGCTCCTCATTACTGCGGTATCTTTCTTAGTCTCAGAAACAGTTCGCATTAAAACGGAGTGAACAAAATGCCCGCGGTCTCTAAAGGGGATGGAATGCGTGGTTTGGCTGTGTTCATTTCAGACATCAGGAACTGTAAGTTTGTTTTGAACCTTTGCGGAATGAAGCTAATGTAAAGTAGTCAGTGTAACGCAGGTGGACTCTGCCAGCTCCGTGTCTTCTTTTCGAGGTCATTTGAACAAGTGTTTGTACAAGCAAACTGCACGTTGAGATAGAGAGCTGTGTATTGAACGTTACTCAGCGGTGTTACCTGTTAGCTCCAAGAGGCTAACATAACATTAGGGCGTGGACCAAACCGCTGCCTAGAGGTGATTCTTAACAAGCAAGTCAAACTGGGCAATTCAAAGTAAAGATGGAGATTAATATATATATATATATATATATATATATATATATATATATATATATATATATATATATATATATGTATATTCCATATGTATATATATATTCCATATGTATATATATATTCCATATGTATATATATATATACATATGGAAAAGACCTTCAGATCATGAGCTGTTTCCTAAACAGATAATTAAGCCAAGCTGATCCTGAATTTGGTTTCACAACAGCAAAAAACGCATTAGTTACCATGGTGATTTGCTACAAGTCTGGTCTGTCCAATAGAACAATATTTATACTGGCTTAACAGTAAAGTGTTTTCAGCAAAGTAAAACTTTATTATCATTCTGAATGATTTTTTAAACATTTAAATGTTGCAGAGTTGAGTCACTGATTTACTAAAAATCCACCAATTCTGTTAAATTCTTGAGTTTACACACAGGTGTAAATAAAACCTTATTGAAAAGAACTAAAAAATGTCTCACTTATCTTTCAGTATTTAGTTTTTACAAACCTCAAACTATAAAAGTGCCCCAAGTCAGATAATTACTTTTCATCAAGTATAACCATTGAAAAATATTTGCTGCTCAGGCTGCTCACAGTTAGGAAAATATGACATTGCAGTATTATCCTTAATAAGTTTGAAAATAATATTAAGAAGCCTTCCTGTCATAATCTCTTATTTAAAAGAGGCATTGTCACTCTTTCCATGAGAGTGAGAGACACATTGGTGTCACACATTCCTGCAGTTCCACAAGATTTCACTGTTGTTTCCAAGCAATGATTTCAGACCTGATATTTTAAGTTGTCTGTAGCAGGTTAGATTATCTTGATTCCATTAAGACTGCTCTTAATTAAGATTTCCTAGACCATGTTCCATGATAGACAGAGCTGGACCAACTTATCAAAAGCATAAAACTGAGAGATTTAGAGAGACCTTTAGGGCCTGTTTTGGGAGAATGGGAGGCAACAGGAGTACCCAGAGAGCACACACATCCAGACTATGCAGAAAGACTGCAGTGTGGGGTTCTATCCTGCACCTTTTATTACATTCTTTATTGTTATTTTTATTTCTTAAATTATTAAACGGTGAAATAATTTAATTAAGGCTGATTTTTAACAGTCTTTGTAAGCATGTTTTTTTAACCCAAATTGAGCACATATCTACCTCAGACATATGGTTCATCTATATTCAGAGATTTTACTCAGAGTAGATTCTGAGCAGACAAGAAGTCTGCCTCATTTTTTAAAAACGTATAAAACATTTGTGGTTGACTGAAGCTCTTTGTTTGAAGGTAAAAGTAAGGAGGCAGAAGTGAAGAGGATAAACAAAGAGCTCGCCAACATCCGTTCCAAATTTAAAGGTAAGTGATCAGTTGGAACACTCTAACCCTGAGGAACAGGAAGTCGTACAACAGACTGCTCAAAGCTGAAGGGATGCACTCTGCCATTGTGTTGAGTTTTATCTATGCCACAGTGTGAAAGTCTCACAGGAAAAAATCATATTAGCTTAGGTTTAGGCTGAAGCTTTGATATCCTGAGCCACCAGGGTTTATCACTGTTTTTAAAATATAATGATGTTTTCATACATTGTTAATTAATAATTGATCATTCCAAAAATGAAATATTAAGCTTTTCAAAGACACTTCACGTTAATTTATGTTTTCTGTGTTGCTATGATAGGAGACAAGGCTTTGGATGGCTACAGCAAAAAGAAATATGTGTGCAAACTGCTCTTCATCTTCCTTCTGGGCCACGATATCGACTTTGGACACATGGAGGCTGTCAATCTCCTTAGCTCCAACAAATACACCGAAAAGCAAATTGTATGTATTTCTTTCTTTTAATTGTTTTTACCTCACAGCTCAGTCTGACTGGATCAAACAATATGACATGTCAAAGACGAAGCACATCCTCCGGCGGTGCTGTTGATCACATCTTTATTTAATACATAACAACTTGATGGAATCTTCTGTGAATGTATTTGCAAGGTCAGATTTACGTACTTTTAAAAGTCATATTTATGCTTTAAAACTGTAGGGTTGACAGAAGGCGCAGTCCATGGTGCAGACGTAAAAATTAATTTGATTCCGCAGCACTTCCTCACATGTATTGAGCACTTGATTTGTATTGGTTAGAAAAGTACTGTCATAGTGAGATCATCCACTAATAATGTTAAAGAACATCAGAGAACATCTTCAGAAGTTCAGCAGTGCATAAATCCTTTAAGATGATGTTTTCTTCCTACATCAGTAGAATACTTGTTGCTGTTTCAGCTCTGATTGGACAACTGAGCAGCATCAATCCACCATCTGCCATGGCGGGTCCAGCTGGTTTAGGAACCACAATCAGGACAAATAAAGACAAAGAGGATTTTCAGAATGTTTTGACTCATTCATGTGTCTGTCATCTGGTGCTACTTCCTGCTTTTTCAGGGTTACTTGTTCATCTCCGTGCTGGTGAACTCCAACAGTGACCTCATCCGTCTGATCAACAACGCCATCAAGAACGACCTCGCCAGCCGCAACCCGACCTTCATGAACCTGGCTCTGCACTGCATCGCTAACGTGGGGAGCAGAGAGATGGCCGAGGCTTTTGCTTCAGAGATTCCCAGAATCTTGGTGGCAGGGTTTGTACAAAATTATTCATTCATAAACAAAAACTGATATTAATATTCTAGTCTTTCACACTTGCTTATTCTAATTTGATGCTAGAAAGAGTTTTCTGGCTGATTCATGTTGCAAAATTCTAAAAGACAAGTCTCACAGAAGACAGCTCTGGGAAAACGTTCAGGAGACGTCTAAGACTTGTTAACTATGTTCGGTCTGTCTGTCGCTGCACTGGGTGATAACCCGGTGAAGGCTCTGGGTCTCCTGCTCCCCACAGGCCTGTAGAAATTTTATTTGCAGTTTGCCTCAAGTCATGTGTTAGAAAAGGTCAATATTTGGAAGAAGATGCTCTAAGCAGACAAAAACCAAAATTAAACATTTTGATGTAGATGCAGAATTCCATGTGTTATAGAACAGTAGCAGTGTGTATCACACAGAGAGATGGGCTGGACACCTTTGAGCTCGACACAGCAATTAAAGTTGGACATTTTTGAACTTTTGTGTTTTGTAGTTAGCTTGAGTTCACATTTACATGTAGACGATTTAAATTTCACCAGTCACTTGGCTTGAGGGAGCAAGCGACTTTCACCTCATCACACAAGTCTGGGCTTCTGCTAATGATTATTTTAGTAATTAATTATTCTGACGATTTAGAGAACTTGAGCCAGGTGAAGCTTAAACTGCAACGTGAGGAGTTTTGGATAAAAGATAATATTTACAAACAAAGAGGGTTTTTATCTGAGTTGCATCTGTGTCTGTATCTGCCAGGCAACGATTAATCGATTACTAAGTTAGTTGATGACTATTTCAGTGACCAGTTCATCAGGATTAAACTGATGAATTGTTTTAGTCCTATGCAAGTTCCACAGGAAATGAGTGGAAAGTGAGCAACATTGCTTCCTATGTGTTGAGCTCTTGACCTTAATCCCACCTAAATATGTTTATTGTTAAATTCAAATTACAAATCAGTAGGACATATAGACACACTACTTCTCCCTGGTTTTCTTCCTGGAAGGTTGTTGGTTGCCACGCTGGTGTTAGTAGATGTTGGAGGAGATCATGTTTCACACTAACTAAGCTTTTCCAGTGCTTGTCTCTGTGTTAGTATGACTCATGTTGAAGAGATGATTTTTATTTCCAGGGACACCATGGACAGCGTGAAGCAGAGCGCTGCGCTGTGTCTGCTGCGGCTCAACAGGACTTCTCCTGACCTGGTGCCTATGGGGGAGTGGACAGCACGGGTCGTCCACCTGCTCAATGATCAGCACCTGGTAAGACCTGTGCTAGTTTTCTGCTTCAGAATCAGAACATCACTACAGCTGTGTTTAGGGTCTGTGCTATTTACAAATCGGGATAGGCTTGAAAGTGAAACACACACATTGTCCCAGACACAAGGCTTTATGAAGATATGTATCTGACTGCACGACATGCTGGAACAAAACTTCAACTTACGTCAGCCATTTGCTCTCTGATGACTAAGGTCGATTAACATTCAGCCAAACATAAGCAGGCTGTGCAACATCCTGGTTGCCTGGTTACCTGGTTACCTTGGTTACAAATCGGTCAGAGGTCTTGGACCAGCAGCTGTGTAGTCGAAGATCTGCATGTAGCAACATTACAAAGCTTTTGGCTAGAGCCAGTCTCTTAGTGTTTTAGTTTGCAAATGCAGCTGATGAACTGAGACATCACTTCTTTTATCTCATTCACAATAAGAGCATTACTTCACAATGCACTCTGAACTTAAATTATATATTTAAAGATAAGCTTTATTTACCAATTAAACTTTAAGGAACTTTTGGCTGATTTGTCGCAAGTGTCTGACCACATCTTAGATTTAGTGTTGTAAATTTATGCCTTTAACTATGAAAAATTATCTGCTTGTTCTTAAAAAGTTATGCCTTTTAGCAACAGAAAAGATCCACTTTTTTGTCATAAACAGTGTCACTTTCCTAATATAATGGCCTAAGTGCCAAAGAAATTTTGGTTAAAAGAGAAAAATAAAAAAACCATCATATCTTTCTTTCCCATAAATGTATCAGACATAAAAAATCCCTTTTTGATTAAATGACTTATACCATTAGTGTCCAACAGTGACAATATGAAAAATTCATCTGGAGAGATCTTTTTTGGCATAAATGTACTTCTTTGTGGCCACCATATTTTCGTTTCTTTTCTACAGTGGCCTGGCCTCCATCATTTGCTGATTTCCCATATTTACTGTGAAATCAGAATGTGTTATTGAAAAACAAATACCTTTTGGGGTCTAAAGTTTTTTCACTGTTTTAAGAAAAAGTAAAAGTGTAAAGAAACAGTCTCCATTTGTATCCCAAAGTAGTGTGCTTGTGTGTGTGTTCCCCTTCTCAGGGAGTAGTCACAGCAGCCACCAGCCTCATCACCACCCTGTCCCAGAAGAGTCCAGATGACTTTAAGACGTCCGTGTCCCTGGCTGTGGCCAGGCTCAGTAGGGTGGGTACGGCTCTGCTGCCCCTCATGGCGCTCTGCACCATCTCAGGCCTAACTTCACCATCTCCAACTTCCTGTCTTACAGATTGTGACCTCTGCATCCATCGATCTGCAGGACTATACCTACTACTTTGTTGCTGCTCCATGGTTGTCTGTCAAACTGCTGCGCCTGCTGCAGTGCTACCCTCCACCTGGTACGCCACCATAAAGCAATGAATAATTGGGATAAAACTTATTTTTTGTTAAAAATAACCAAACAGTCCCTATGCATTCGTGCCAACCTGCTTAAGAACATTAACACATTACCGTCGGAATTTTAAAGTAATCTGACTGGTTGTTGCAGAGGACGCGTCATTGCGAAGTCGTCTGACCGAGTGTCTGGAGACCATCCTTAATAAAGCCCAGGAGCCGCCTAAGTCCAAGAAGGTGCAGCACTCCAATGCAAAAAACTCTGTTCTTTTTGAAGCCATTGCCCTCATCATCCACCATGACAGGTTGGTCACTATCTGCTTCTTAACCTGCTCAGTTACCTAGGAGGAACTGAGATGTTTAACAATGCTGTCTCTACATGTTGAGGACCAAATCCTCAAGTCAATGACGCTACAATATAGTACTAACTATAGATGAGTAAGAGTATTACACCTGGACTGCAATAAGAGCAAAGTGTATATTAGTATGTTGTATATTAGTGTCAGATCTGTCTACACATTTGTAGACAGATGAGTCCAATTCAGTGCATGAAGATCTGAGTACATCCTGTTGTTCTTTTTTTGTTTTCTCTCAGTGAACCCAACTTGTTGGTACGAGCCTGCAACCAGCTGGGCCAATTCCTGCAGCACAGAGAAACTAACCTCCGTTACCTGGCCTTGGAGAGCATGTGCACGCTGGCCAGCTCCGAGTTCTCACACGAAGCCGTGAAGACGCACATCGAAACTGTCATCAACGCCCTAAAGGTGAGTTTCTGGACCTCTGGTAGGAAATGTGACGACCCCATCAGTGTGGACCTCTCCATGCCTGTTAAGAATGGAAAGCAGAAATGTTTCATGCTGTATTCATGTAGTAATTCATGCAAGAAAAAAAACAATCGAGTATTGAGTCCATAGAAATGAATATACTTTTCAGAAGCTCAGTTTTATTTATTTAGCTAACATTCTAATTTTCTATCCATTTTGGTTTTATATTATCTGAAAGTCATAATCATCAGAATTACAAGAAAGAAAGACTCTATGTGCAGTGAATCTACATGATGTATGAGATTTAGTTTCTGAAATACTGAACATTTTCACAACATTTACATTTTTTGTTATATACCTGTTTACTGTACAGTGAGAGAATCAATATGAATCCATCAAGTAAATCAAACCAAATAAACTCTACTTAGAAGCTCTGCAATAATCTGGATGAAACATGAGACTAAGATTCCTATTACTGATTGACTGGAGATTATGGACTATTGTGCATTATAAATAATTAATATGCACAGTAATAAGTTGTTGAAATTATAAACCGCCATTATATGAATGTGGATCAATACTGTTGAGCTATGAGGCAATTTAATGGTCTTTAAACATATCACACTGCAGAATGGAAATGAACTCTAGTGTATTTACTCAAGTCTAGAGAGTTATGAATAGTGAAGAGCATGTGACTTGATGTCCTTTGCCGTATGTCTTCCTTTTCTTTTCCAACCTGCTTTTTGTCTGACTACTTTCAAATAAGGACTACTAGAGCTGCTAAAACCTTAGAAAAACAACAAAAACACATTTGTAGACAGATGAGTCCTTCTCAAAATCAGAGATCAACCTTAAAAATTTTTTGTGACAACATCACCTTTAAGTTTATGCAGTACTGCAACTGGTTCCAAGAAGATGAATGTAAGTTCAGTTCTGACTTTAGGCACTGAAAGTAAAAAAAAAAAAAAGTTCTCACAGAGTGTTCTCTGGTGGACTTTTTCTGTTTCTCAACAAATATGAATGTAGAAATCCGAGTGTGGTCTTATAATGGAGGAGTCGAGTGGCCAGGTCTATTCATCCATCCCAGTTACTGTATATATTGTACAGTGATGGATAAAACCCACCTTTCAGAAATCTTCAGGCTCCATGATGAACTGTGTCCAATGAAGAAAGACATAAGAGAAGCATGCATGGATAAAATGTCTCCACTGTCCAACACAGACATAAAAGTATCAACCATAAAGATAAGATCTGATCCTGATTTAAAATCCCAATTTTAATCTCAGGTTCTTCACAGCCTGTTGAATATGGGAAGTAAATGACAAAGAATTATCAATTAAAAATCCTAAATAGTTATACTGGGAGACTTTTTGAATTCTCAGACCTTCAGTTGCAGTAATGACTGAAAGAACATTTGATTTATCTGCAAAGACAGTAAAGAGAGAACAGGACAGTTTTCACAGTTCTGTTTATTGCAGCTGGTTTTGGAGGTGGCAGTGTTTAAACTTTTTTTAGGTTTACATTATGTTATGTTGTTGTCATCAAAAACATAAATGGAGTGTTTCCTTTCTTCTTTCATTCAGTGTGGCCAATCATGTTTCTTTCCTAAAGTCATATGGTAGTCATACGTCTACCACATCTCTGCTTGGTATGTGTGTGCAGACTGAGAGAGATGTGAGCGTGCGCCAGCGGGCCGTCGACCTTCTCTACGCCATGTGTGACCGCAGCAACTCCAAGCAGATTGTAGCGGAGATGCTGAGCTACTTGGAGACGGCAGACTACTCAATCAGAGAGGAGATTGTAGGCCATCAACACACACATGCTCAGCTTTGAGTCTCGGCGTGAGAAGTTCTCCTCAGCCTCTGCATTGTCGCCCACAGGTGCTGAAGGTGGCCATCCTGGCCGAGAAGTATGCGGTAGATTACACTTGGTATGTGGACACCATCCTCAACCTGATCCGCATTGCCGGCGACTATGTGAGCGAGGAGGTGTGGTACCGAGTCATCCAGATCGTCATCAACCGGGACGACGTCCAAGGCTATGCTGCCAAGACCGTGTTTGAGGTGGGAACTGTGATTCATGTCTTCAATAATAACATTCACTTCACTTGGTTTTTTTCTATGCGTACTCCAGAGGAAGCTCGTCTGACAGGCGTCTAATAATATAATCTGAATTATTGATTCAATATTTCCACTAAAAGCTTGAGGAACGAGATTAATTTAGCATAATTTGGAACAAGACTGTAACATCACTAAACATGGAAAAAGTGAAGGGCTTTGAATACTTTCTAGATTCAGTCTGAAGTCAAAAGAAAATGTCAGTAAAATGTGAATTAATGATAATCAATATCATCATTGCTAGAATAGTCATATGTATTATGATAAGTACTGTTGAAACCAGAAGTTTACAAACTGAAGTAAGTCTTGGTCTGATATTATATCAGACCAAGACTTCTCAGTTTTAATGAAAGAAAGATTATCCCATAAGGTTATTTGATACTGTCTTAATACTTAATACCATAGGGGTGTAAAATATTTTTTATTATTTTGATGACATCAGTTTTCTCTATGACATTAAAGAATTTTTTTATTAGTTTATTTTTTTTTTGACAAAAAAGCCAAATTTTGCTGACCACAATTGATTTGTAAAGCAAAAAAAGTAGTCAAACATCTGAGGGCTGAGTAACCTAAATAATTATCATAAAATTAGATTTTTTATTATTTTACCTGTTCATCATGTCAGCGACATCTGACTGATTTGCGCATTTCTTCTTAAAATGAATTGAATCCACCATTTTAAAGGTAGATTGTTCACTGGCCAGACACAGCCAGTGAACAAACTGCATAATGGTAAAAATCACTGTCCAACAGAACAGAGTGCTTGTTGAATTCAGGTTTTATTAGATCTGATTAGACCAAGGTTGTATCTTTAGTTGGATACGCACTTTGTGTTAGTGTGTTTTTTCTTACCTGACAGAAACTGTTGTTCCTCTCCATGTGAATGTGTGCAGGCCCTTCAGGCTCCAGCCTGTCATGAGAATCTAGTGAAAGTGGGTGGTTACATTCTGGGAGAGTTTGGAAATCTGATTGCTGGTGACCCTCGCTCCAGGTGCTGAAAATTGACAATGCTTCTGACCAGACGTTTGTAATCTTTGAAGGTTCAGCTCCTCATGACCTGTTTCTCTGCAGCCCCCTGGTCCAGTTCAACCTGCTTCACTCCAAGTTCCACCTGTGCTCGGTGCCGACCCGGGCCCTGCTGCTCTCCGCGTACATCAAGTTCATCAACTTGTTTCCAGAGGTGAAAGGCATAATCCAAGATGTCCTCCGCTCAGACAGCCAGCTTCGCAACGCCGATGTGGAGCTCCAGCAGAGGGCAGTGGAGTACCTGAGGCTCAGCTGCATCGCCAGCACTGACATACTGGTCAGCAAGCACATCATTCAGCTAACCTGAAGCTTTAAGACTCAGGATTATACAGTGAGGGTGGATGTTCCTCTGCTTTATTAGGGCGTCATCAGAATAGTGTGAATTTACTTCAGTTTCTCTGCAATGTGAACAAAACTCTGTTCACATAGAGAACAAAACTTTGTTTTGTTCACATTGAGACAACTAATGTGAGACAACAAATTATTTTATAATTTTTCCCACTTGTGACATTTACAGTTAGGGCCAGAAATATTTGGACAGTAACACAATTTTCGTGAGTTGGGCTCTGCATGCCACCGCATTGGATTTGAAATGAAACCGCTACAACAGAATTCAAGTGCAGATTGTAACGTTTAATTTAAAGGGTTGAACAAAAATATCTGATAGAAAATGTAGGAATTGTACACATTTGTTTACAAACACTCCACATTTTAGGAGCTCAAAAGTAATTGGACATATAAACATAACCCAAACAAAAAAGTTTTTTCTCAATATTTTGTTGCGAATCCTTTGGAGGCAATCACTGCCTTAAGTCTGGAACCCATGGACATCACCAAACGCTGGGTTTCCTCCTTCTTAATGCTTTCCCAGGCCTTTACAGCCGCAGCCTTCAGGTCTTGCTTGTTAGTGGGTCTTTCCGTCTGAAGTCTGGATTTGAGCAAGTGAAATGCATGCTCAATTGGGTTAAGATCTGGTGATTGACTTGGCCATTGCAGAATATTCCACCTTTTTGCTCTCATGAACTCCTGGGTAGCTTTGGCTGTATGCTTGGGGTCATTATCCATCTGTACTGTGAAGCGCCGTCCAATCAACTTTGCAGCATTTGGCTGAATCTGGGCTGACAGTATATCCCGGTACACTTCAGAATTCATCCGGCTACTCTTGTCTGCTGTTATGTCATCAATAAACACAAGTGACCCAGTGCCATTGAAAGCCATGCATGCCCATGCCATCACGTTGCCTCCACCATGTTTTACAGAGGATGTGTGTGCCTTGGATCATGTGCCGTTCCCTTTCTTCTCCAAACTTTTTTCTTCCCATCATTCTGGTACAGGTTGATCTTTGTCTCATCTGTCCATAGAATACTTTTCCAGAACTGGGCTGGCTTCTTGAGGTGTTTTTGGGCAAATTTAACTCTGGTCTGTCTACTTTTGGAATTGATGAATGGTTTGCATCTACATGTGAACCCTTTGTATTTGCTTTCATGGAGTCTTCTCTTTACTGTTGACTTAGAGACAGATACACCTACTTCCTTGAGAGTGTTCTGGACCTCAGTGATGTTGTGAACGGGTTCTTCTTCACCAAAGGAAGTATGCGGCGATCATCCACCACTGTTGTCTTCCGTGGACGCCCAGGCCTTTTTGAGTTCCCAAGCTCACCAGTCAATTCCTTTTTCCTCAGAATGTACCCGACTGTTGATTTTGCTACTCCAAGCATGTCTGCTATCTCTCTGATGGATTTTTTTCTTTTTTTTCAGCCTCAGGATGTTCTGCTTCACCTCAATTGAGAGCTCCTTTGACCGCATGTTGTCTGGTCACAGCAACAGCTTCCAAATGCAAAACCACACACCTGGAAACAACCCCAGACCTTTTAACTACTTACTTGATTACAGGTTAATGAGGGAAAGGCCTTTTGAGTTAATTGCAGCCTTTAGAGTCCATTGTCCAATTACTTTTGGTCCCTTGAAAAAGAGGAGGCTCTGCATTACAGAGCTATGATTCCTAAATCCTTTCTCCGATTTGGATGTGGAAACTCTCATATTGCAGCTGGGAGTGTGCACTTTCAGCCCATACTATATATAAATTGTATTTCTGAACATATTTTTGTCAACAGCTAAAATAACAAAACCTGTGTCACTGTCCAAATATTTCTGGCCCTAACTGTATCTGGTACAATTAGACTCACATGTTGAGTCAGTAATAAAAAAGAGGCAAAAATACATATTTTTTAAAGTATAGCTGAAATAAACTAGTTCAATTTATGAGAACACTCTTATACTAAGACTTTATTGATGCATAATTTTGATTCAGTTTCAAACTCCGGTCTTTGGTAGAAGTTTGTCAGCATGCCACAACCTGAGCAGATCCTGAGGACATCTGTTGCTCACAATTCTCTTCAGAAACATGAAGTCAAATCAAATTTAAGTGTGTAGAACATCTCAGCAACAAAGCAGATCAGAGTGCTTTGCATTATTAAAACATCATGCAGTCTTCAGTTCTGAAACAAGCAACAAACATTACATGTTGTCCAATGCCATCATCAAAATCATCAAGCAAAAACACATAAGATCCATTTAAATCATTTGAAAAATGTGGATTTTAATTCTTTATCTAATGGAACTCGGTGTTTCAGTTTTGCTGAAAAGCTTTTAAGTTTCCAAAGAAACATGAAGTTTCCAAAGTTTCCTCAGGTTGTAGGCAGAGCGTTTGTCGGTCAGTTCCTGTGGGTTTAGCGTCGTTTTCTCTCTGCCCCCAGGCCACCGTGTTAGAAGAAATGCCTCCATTCCCAGAGAGAGAGTCGTCCATCCTGGCCAAGCTGAAGAAGAAGAAGGGTTCCAGCAAACTGCCCGACATGGATGATTCCCGAAAGAATGTCAACGGCAGCAGTGAACACCCTGAGGATGCCGAAGTGGCCAGCAAGGTAGCATCATGACTAAATCAGAAGAATATAGACGCTTCATCTGAATCCACAGTGTTTTTGTCCTGTCCTCCTCCTGGGTTTCCATCGTTCTCCTCTGTATCCTCAGTCTCTACCTTTCCATTGTTCTGCTCCTCTCCTCTTCTTTTTTGTGCCTAGCCTCCTCAGTTTCTGTTGGAAGAGCTCATTTCCACAGACAGACCCCATCCCTCCTCCAGCACCACCATGCTCCCCACCAAAACCATGGTACATGACATGTTTACATTTTCAGTGCAGTTTGCATTTTCTCCCAAGGAGGAGCAGTTGTTCCTGTTGCCTAGCAACAAGAAGGTCCTGGGTTTGAATTCCAACCTGGGCTCTTTATGCATGAATTTGCATGTTCTCTCTGTGCATGTGGGGGTTCTTCAAAATGAAAAACATCTGAGAACTGGAAATACAGTAAGGTCACATGAACAAAGAAAATCTTTATGGTGGAAATCTAGAATAGAACAGAACAATAGAAAATACTTTATTGATTGAGAGAGACGTGTCTTAGTGTACGTTTAATTTAAGTATGACCTAAGTACAAAATAAAAAGATAAAAAGGCATAATAACAAGCATGCACATCTAAATTTAACTAACACTGTACATTACCGTTGACTGGGCATTCCCATGAGGAAGTATGGTGGTGCCAGGATTATGCTGTGGGGATGATTACCTGCAGCAGGGAGCGGTTCCTCAGCTGAATGAAAGGTGAAGGTTCAACTCCCAATAGGAAAGAGGGCCAGACACAGCCAGAGAGACAGAGGGACTTTCTTAACTGTCCATGAGAAACTGAGCAGCTAAAGTCTTTCCTCTGCCTACATCTCCCAGAATGCTGTGTGGTTCTGGATCGGAGTTCAGTGAAATTACTGAAAATTCTATCAGATGTATTATCTATTGGTATTATTGATATGTCTGTTGCGATATGCATTGTCTTGATCTGTTGTCCAGTCCTGCCTGAAGGTTGTTTTTTCCTGAAGGTCTGACTAATGAGCCTCAGTGGAACACCTGTTGTAATTCACTGAATGTGACTGTATGCAGCTAAAACATCTTGGGAAAAAAAACTTTTAAAAATGCCCCAGAAACTGGTTTGGAAATGGATTTTAAAAAGTCCTTAGAAATGGTTTGAAATAGTTTTACAAAAGCCTCTCTAACATCTGCTGAAGGACACTATGAGACATTTGTAAGCTCCAAACTACCGCTGTGTCAAACTGATCCAGTCATGTTCAAATCACTGCAGCCTCTGAACTGATGGAAGCACAAACATTAAAAAGAAGATCTGAATATACAGGATGTTTATCAGAATATATGATCAGTGATCTAATGGTGTTTGTCCTGCAGGTTTCCAGCCACAACTTCACTGACAACCTGAGTGTGAACTCAGCCCCGTCCTCAGGAGCCAGCCTGCTGGTGGATGTCTTCTCTGACTTTAGCAGTGCTGCACCCACAGAGGGCTCAGATGAACACTTTCCCAGGTGACACTAACCACAGCTCATCTAATGACTAAACGTGACGATAAGAATTGTTTATTACGGTTTTTTTAGGTAACTTAATGACTGAATGTATTACACAACAATCCCACTGATACAATGACAAACATTCTGACTTGTAATACATCTCTTCAGTCACATGAAGAAGGTTTTGTGACAATAAATGAAAGTCATGTACCATGAAAAATTATAAACAATACAAAACATTGTATTGTTTATACAAGCTCCTTCATACAGACCATTAGATTTATCTTTGACAGAAGATAACTCACCGTATTAATAACTGAGCACTGTTACAAATCTTAACAATTTGCTAATTGTTAATATTTCAGGTTTGTGTGCAAAAACAATGGTGTTATCTTCGAGAACCAGCTTCTCCAGATTGGACTGAAGTCTGAGTACCGGCAGAACCTGGGTGAGCCTCTGCACTGTTCACTTCTCTGTTAAACTCTCATTTAAGATTACAAGTTTATGTGAGAGATTGAAATGTGTTTGGAGGAGAGTGAATGAAATGTTTTACTTTCTGTCTCGCTGCAGGTCGCATGCATGTGTTCTATGGCAACAAGACCTCCACACAGTTCCTGAGCTTCTCCACCTCAGTGAGCAGTAATGACGTCCTCAGCTCTCATATCCTCTGCTTTACTCCACAGCTGCCCAGCCAAGGGAGCAGTAATCTCCTAAGATGGTTTCTGTGCGGGATTCTTGTCTCAAAACAACAGTTGCCCTGTTGTTTTTAACAACGACTCTCTATTTCAGTTAAATACGTTTCCACCCTGCAGTGATTATCTAATGGGAGGAACGTAGCAGTTTGCTTTGGGTGGATGTTTTTCTTCGGTTTTAGTGCATCTTTCAGCTGTTTGTTCCTGCTGGTTCTGTGAGTGTCTGTGGAATCCTTGACCAGCAGCTTTACAGCTGAATGTCCAGGAAAAGCCAGTAGACCCGCTGATTGAGGCTGGAGCTCAGGTCCAGCAGATCCTCAACATCGAGTGTGTGTCTGATTTCTCAGATGCTCCTGTCCTCAACATTCAGTTCAGGTTGGTAAGACGGTACAGATCTGGGGCCTCATGCAAAAGAGTGCGCAGTTTTCACACTAAAACTTGCTGTTCGGAAAAATTTTGAAAAGTGCGGCGCACAAAAAAAAATTGGATGCATAAAGCCATACTCATGCACATACGTGGCTGCACACTTTTCTTTTATAAATCCTAATTTGCAGGAAATAGAGCGCAGCTGCTGGTCCACCTTGTCGCTTCCATAAATACATATTTAATTAGTATAAATACCCAGAAGTCTGCCACCACATGTAGAAATAACCATGGCAACATCATTGTTTGAAGCAGTATAAGTATTTATACTGATAATAATTATATATTTTATTTAAAAGAGGCTTTGAGGACGCATAGAGAGATTCTGCAAATGCCTGTTTTAACAGTAGCGCATTGAGCCAGGACTTAAAGACAGCATATCAGAGAGTCTTGAGTGGGAATGTGGACGTTTATTCTAAATAGTAAAATGCTTTATGTCCATAAGGCTCATTCACTAAGCAGGCGATGAGACTGCAGGATTACTGCATCTGGACCGGTACCACACGGCTCTTTAAGTTTTGCTCAGAGCTCCAGGATAATCAGTCTGAGAAATCTAAACATCATAAACCAACATCAACATTTCCCAGCAGATCAATATGATCTCTGAACACACACTCCCTTTGAATCCTTCCATTGACGATGTTCTCCATCAGAGCCAAAGCTCCACAATTACGTTGCTCACCTTTGCACTACTACTTATATACGTGTGATTGCACACACACCTTGAACATAATCAAACCTATGATTATTTTTATCAGCAGGTTGGAGTTAATCTGCTGATCCAACCCTGTTTTCTTTTTCAGTCAGAATGAAATGACCCCATAGATGCATTTCTTGCACTTCAGCGCACAGACCAATGCGTTACATCTTAATGAGGCAAAAACTGAGGAAAAGTACTATTTACATTCGAGCGAGGTTTTCACAAACTTTTGTTTTCTTTATTTTGTGTGTGTTAGTTTATTGTCTGAGGATAAATGCGGTTTAGTTTCATCGTTTATGTTGAAGCAAAATATTAAAATTATGACAAAACATCGAGTTTGATGCTTCTTGGTCTAAATAACACTGAATGCAGTCAGATCTTAGTGTATTTAGGTGAGTTTTGATGCTTTGTAGTTTGATATTGTCCACAGAAAAACTTTGATGCAAAGTTAATATTTGTGTAAGCCGACTTGTGCATAAAATATGCTGCTGCACATTTTTTGTGCGCACGCACGCTTTATGCATGAGGCCCCTGTTTTATGTATTGACTCTGTTATTGAGCTACTTATGTACAAACTTCATGCTGTATGAGCAGATATGGTGGAACACTGCAGAACATTGCTGTCAAACTCCCTGTGATGCTGAATAAGTTCTTCCAGCCCACGGAGATGATGTCCCAAGACTTCTTCCAGCGCTGGAAGCAGCTTGGAGCGTAAGCCTGACTTTACTTTAATCAAAGTAGTTTCAACTGCTTAGTTTTTAAAGTCAGAACTATCAGTTTACATCAGATTAATGTGAAAAGTTGTATATCAGAAAAGGCTCATAAAACTTGATGGTTTTATGAGCCTCTGTCTTTATTTTGAAGTTGATACTTTTTTTTTTGTTTTTGGTGTCGCCAGTCCTCAACAAGAGGTACAGAAAGTCTTCAAAGCCAAAAACCAGATGGACACAGATGTTACCAAAGCCAAGGTAAACAGTGAACCCTTGTGTCAGTGTGAACTATCTGTGGCTGAGCTCAGTGTTAGCCATGACTCAATAAACATGCAATCTGACTTTAGCTTTATGTTGCTGTTGTTCTTGTGGAGTTTTAATGAATCCAGTTGACTTACTTCTCTGTGTTCTGTTGCTTTCACTCCTCCAGCTGTTAGGTTTCGGTGTAGCTCTGTTGGACGGTGTGGATCCTAATCCGGCGAACTTCGTTGGCGCTGGAATCATCCACACTAAGACCACTCAGGTGGGCTGCCTGCTCAGGCTGGAGCCCAACACACAAGCACAGGTAAACACACTGAAATAAAGGCTGTGCTTTGAAAAATGTGTTTCATTGTTTTTCATAAGGTGACAGAATTGAATTGGGAAGAAAATGACACATGGTTTACAATTGAACAAAATTCCATGTTCTATAATTGTGTACTACTTTGCTGGTCAGTCACTCACAATCCCTTTAAATTGCTTTGATGTTTGTGTTTGTAACATGTCAAAATGTGAATAGTACCAGGGATGACCCCACTGCAAGATGGGTCTGAACTCACATGTGTTGTCAGTAGTGTGGACCTGCTCTGTCCGGCTTTCACACATAACATTGTAACAGGCTGTGTGGATATTTGTACCACCTGTCTGAAAAGTTACTGCTTTGCAAAGAAACTGTTCCTATTTGAGGCCACAGCTCACATTTATTATTCTGGACCCAGCACGATGCATTAGTCTTTGATTTAAGGATAAAATGTATTGATGAGAAAATCATCAATACATGATGTATTGAATAGATTCACTTGCGGCTACATGTCGCAGTGTTCAGCTGCTGCCATTTCTCCATCTTTTCAATTTTTCCAAACTTTGTTTGGGTTTTGGAACAAACTTTATCCTGCGCTTTAAATGTTTGGGGTAAAGCTGGGATCAAGAGCCGGTTGGATTGACATACAGGTGTCATCATGTCCATTGAATTGAATCTGATTGTCTCATAAAGTTCCTTGTAATGACATTTGTAGCAAATAGATGCTACAGAAATTAACAGATTTGAACTGAATGAACATTCCTGTTGGGACCATCATACAGATGCTAACTGGCTGATTCATTTCTGTTTCTTCCAGATGTACCGCCTCACCTTGCGGACCAGTAAGGAGTCCGTATCTCAGCGGCTGTGTGAGCTGCTGTCTGAACAGTTTTAGCCTCAACACAGCACCTGCATTCTTACACTTTCGTACTCTCACTTCTAATCAAAAGTAGATGTATTGTACAGTGTACATTTTTTGTTTTATTACATACTTTATATCCTACTGAGAGGGAAAAGTCTTTTTTGCACATAACTCTTGTAGTGCCTCACTGCTTTCAAGCTGCGTCGTGTCTGTCCTCACACTGTGATGAGGCTCATGGTTTGGACTGAGCCGCCGGTACTGAGAGTCCGGGTTGTTGGTCTGGGAGTGTTTCACACAATCATTCTGCACTAGTTGGCTTAAAAAATAGATCACACAAGTCGCTCACAGAGAATGCCAACACTTCAGCTGTTTATTACATGTTGTCTCAGGAGGAGCAATCCCTCTTCGGTATTTATAAAAAACATTTTTTGTATGTGTGGATTTTGTTTCCAGTAAGGGAGTTTCCTAACAGCCACAGCTGTTTACTAGAATCATCTTACAGGGACTGTGGTTGAAATAACATATTTATGTCTAAATAAAGAAATCCCAGGTCACCTTTTGAGAAATACTTCACAGACTATACAATGGTCTATTTCTAAAGGGATAATTCTGATTTTTTTGAAGATGGGTTCTATTGAGAATTTTTGAGCAGTGAGTGTTTTACCTTCTGTAATTGTTAGTATTTGTGTTTTGTACGTATACTGACATGTTTTTTTAACAACATAGACAAGCAGTATAAAAAATCTGCAGCTAGATTTCTTTTAATGTCTGTGGCCTGAGCTTTTCACCTCTAGACACCTTATGTAGCAACGCATTCACCAGAGATATGGCATTTAAGCTGCTGCTAACTCAAAGTAGCTTCGGGTCATTGGTCTGTTCTGACGGGTTTTATCAGTTTTCTCCTGACTGCCTTCAAACGATCAATGGAACCAGCTTTTAAAAAAAACATCAACTCTATTTTTATTCTATAAATGTTTGCTCACACCAAGAACAGGATCTTTGCTGGTCATGAAAAGTTGATTAGACACATGGTCCATCAACAACACACTGTAACCGTTATGTCACTGCCGTATCTTTGACTTTTCTAGCTGTGTTTTAAATCAACCAACCACATTGTTGGATGCCTTTATGCCTTTTCTGATGTTGAATTACCAGTTTTCAGTGGAATCACTTGTTGGGGTAAACAAGCTTTAAAGCACTGCCATTCTTTTTATTTTCTCCTAAAGCATTTCTCTTTAATATCCAACTAGAAATATTTCTCTATTGGTCACTGTTTGTGTGTCTGTTTTTATATTTGCTTAAAGAATGCCTATTTTTACACCTTTTTTTGATAAAAATAACTAACTGCAGCTCTACAGGAAAATTCCCCCCTAATAATTTTATGCCATATCTAATTTTTAGCTCCACTTTTTTCACCACTCTGCTAAACTAGAATCCCACAGCTGCTTCTGCATTTTTGCTCATGGCTGGATTGGAGAGTGACGTTAACCTGAGAGAAGAGAATCAGACTACTTGACTTCTCTTCAAATCAGCCTCCAGACGTTGTGTGGTGGTTCTGATCCTTGAACCCAAAGCCTGAAGCCGGACCTGACGGGGGCACTGTGATGTAAGAAATGTGCTGGAAACAGCTGAACGTTAGAAAACCAGGGAGACCCATGACCTCTGACCTCTGAGTAATGTGAAGCACTGCTGCTTTTCCACCTGCAGCCTTAAACGTTTTCACATATTCTCTGACTTTGTTGTTTCTGACATGAATGTTGTTTACACTGTGCATTGGGGTTTTAATGCCACACTATTCATAAATTGGTGATTCATTTAGCAAATGGTGTCTGATAAGTTTTGCTGTTTACTAGCAGCATTTTAGCTCCACCTGTATTGTGAATTTAATCAGCGTGTCGTTTAAGTGTCGATGATGCTAAAGAACAGTGTTGCCGTTACCCATAACCCCCTGCTGCACACTGCTACTGCTTCACACCAGTTGCTCTTTTTTAATTTTGTTTGTTTCTGACTCAGGATTCTCATTTTGTACAAACCACGTGACATATTTATATGACTTTAACAAATAATACCTACCAGGTCAGGATTATGGTGGTTTGATCAAAGGTCACAAAGTCACAATTATAAGAAATAGAATGTCACAAATTACAGTTTCATAATTATTTCTCATCTTTCATGAAATATATTTCAACTATAAAGACAAATTGTTAAAGTAGATAACTGCGGTACGAAATGACAACACATTGTTTGATCAGGGTTGAACAGATCCTCCTTCCAACAATAAACAGTTCAGTTCATAAGGTTCTGAATATTTCAAATGAGAAAAACAAAATATTTCACTAACGTGTGATAGGTGATGACCGATTAATTAGATTCAGACATGTTGCAACGGGTGTCCAGCTGTCTTGAGTTACAAATTCATAAGTTGTGTTTCAGGTTTTGGTTTCAGTGATTCACTCCACTGGTTTAAATATTTGCTGAAGCTTTGAACTCTGAGTAGATTTCATGTGTGGTGTTGCATTGTCAGTAAACTGAGTGAAAATACTTTCTACAGTGGTGTTTGTTTAGTTGTGTGAAAGGTTTTCAGAAGCACTGTGATCCAGTTCTGACTCTTTGTTCTACAGAACACAAAATGGAACATTAGGTCCATTTAATACTGCAGATCGGGCTGAACTGATTCTGATAGAGCCATATCACATCCTACACACACACACACACACACACACACACACACACACACACACACACACACAACACACACACACACACACACACACACACACACACAACACACACACACACACAGTGCCAGTGTGTAACTGCAGGGCTTTGTAGTGTATTCTTGTCACTTTTCTACATTTTGTCATTCCCACACAGACTTTATTTAAAGGGGCAGTATTATGTAAATGTACTTTTTTTAAGCTTCACATCATGTTGTAATGTTATTCCCTCACCATAAAGACACCTGGAGTGTTGCCTTGATGATTTCATGCATGTTTGAGAAATCCTCCATGGAAACCATTGAGCTGATCAAAACGTGTGGGTCGACCTAGCCCTGCCTTAGAGGTACTCTTTTTTTTTTTTTTTTTAAGAGTTGCAATTTACAAGCTTCCACCTCACAGAGCAGCCCTCTGCCACTACTGCTCTACTCAGCTCCTTCAGACTAGCCAGCAGCAATTAGCAAACATCTGGTTCAACTGTGTATCTGCTGAGAAGCTGATACAAGAAGCTCAGTATACGAGCTTTTTCTTAGTTAAACACTGAGGTAAAAATGTTGTCACAGAGCAGCCATGTTGCGATGACTTCTTGAAGGCAAAGGTTTTAAAGAGACGAGGCCCAATTTCAAAGCATTCAATCATGAAGCCAATTTTTCTTTAAGTCATATTTGATATGTATATTTTTTTAACAACTGAAGGTAACATGGCTACTTGATTCTACTACATGTGCCCCAAAAACACAATACTGCCCCTTTAATGTCAGGATTTCATGCAACAATATGTCCAATTAAAAATCTGAAAAGTGTGAGGACATTTGTATTCAGCTCCCTTGAGTCAATGCTTATGTTTTGCTGCAATTCCAAGTCTCTACCAGTCTTGCACTTCTAAAGAATGTTTCCAGACTGAATGTATGGAAGTTCCCTCGGCTTGCTGAACTTTTACACAGTTACGACAAATGTGAACTTGGATCATAGATTCCAGGACATTAGCTTTTTCATTAATATCATCTGACTGAACACTTCTTTTGTTTTTTGGCTGTGCGTGTCTTTCAGAGCTTTGAGCTCAGAATTCCTCTGATGTTGATTAAATATCAGAGAAATGAATTTCTCTGTTAATGCCTGATGACTGGGATAAAATCAATCAAATCAAATTAGTTTGGTGGAATAAAACCTACAACTGAATAATTTTCAGTTTGAAGTAAAAAAAAAAAACAACTAATCGTTTCCATATTGATGTCAGCAGAAGTTCAGATGAGTACAGGGAGGCAGTTTTTTTTTTTTTTAACTTTCAGGCTTGCAAACATTTGCAAGCCAAAATGCCTACAGAACAATGACAAACTACATGATTATTAAATTTCGTAAGAGTGCCGTTTTACTTTGAGCTTTATGTTGTGCTTTTTTAATAGAATTTTGTGATCATCTTTTGTGCCTGACGAAAAAAGGGCTGTTTCTAGAAAAAAAAAGTCAGGATTTGCTGTTATGTTTAAATGTCATTGCATTATGTGAATCTGAAGTTTTTACCAAATAAAGTTTTGAAAACAAATTCAATGCATAGCTTGTGTTTTACTGCCTTCTAGTGGATGAAGACTGATCTGTCCAAAGGAAAGAAATGATTTATGCCAACTAAGAAGACAAGAGAAAATTAAACAGCATCAAATTTTCAAACATGCATCAGTTTTGAAAAAACAAGTTTTATTTTGTTTCAGTAAAAATGGCACATCAAAATTTATTTCTACACTTCTCCACAATCAATAGAAAAATCAAGCATGATGTATTTTCTATTTCATTATTTATTTCCGATGCCTCCCAGGTCTTTGAGGTTGGAAGGCCTCTTTATCGTCACCCTAACCTTCATGCTCAGGACTGTCTGGGCCGATCCATTACATTAACATGACTTCCAACCAGAAGGCACAGCTTGTGGTTTGAAGAATTTCAGCCTGACCTGCATGTACATTTTGTTTAGATAAAAAGCTTGATCATCTTTACTTTTTAACTTTGGAGTGAATGCTGTGAATTCCTGCTTTGTTCTTCAGTTATCAGCCTGAGCTACTGATGATCACTTCACTGATTTGTTCATTAATTTTTTTTTAAATGGAGGTGGCCTTTAACTAAAATAATCAAAACTTATTGACACTTCAAATAAACAAAAGGCAGCATAGTTGGAAATAGGGAAAGTGTGAAATTAAATCAACAAGATGTAAAGGAATGAAGTTCACACAGAAAACATGACTTTGGTTTCCTACAGTACTAAGACTGAAGCAGCCATTGTTCCTGGTGTCTCCCTGATAACAACAGCATTTACCACCAGGAATGCCTGATGTCCGTGTTGAGCCGCAGCTCAGTCCCCATACCGCACCTCTGCTCTGAGTTCCTTTGAGACGTAATTGAGCAGGGCGGCGATGACCTGCTGCTTCAGCGTGGAGTTGCCCATCACCAGGGCGATGAGCTGGGCCGCATCCGTCCAGTTCAGGCTGCCCAGAACGCCGTCGATGTCCTGGTAGAGTTGCTCCCTCTGTTTGGGCGGCAGCTCCATCAGGATCTGAGGCAGAGGCCTGAATTGACCGCTGGTTAGCCAGCTGCCCAGCAGACCCCCCACCGCCCCGCCTCACAAACACACAGAGGGTTGGTTACACTGTTAGTAACACTAATATGCAAACAAGCACTAAAGTTTTTCATTCTTCAAAATAGGTATATAAAAATTCAATTTTAGCTTTGGTACCCTTTGTATAATCACGTGACGTCTTTCTTTGTGCTGTTAAGGAAATAAATAAGTCTTACCTCAGATGAAACACTGAGTCAATCAAGAATTAATCAAAATGCATTTTGATTATTATTTTATTAAGAAATTAAGTAAAGAATATGAGTCATGACTCCCTTGGCTAGTCCACGGAAGTGAAGAAAAGATTAAAGTACATCACTTTTAATATATACCAGCCCTCTTACAAAGACGGGAGGAAAAGAGAGGATCCCACCAGTTTCCGTTTACTGAACTCTGGTATTTGCACCTCAAGGCTGTGACCTTGAATGGTTCATGTTGAACAGAAGCCATGTAAAATGTTTTTGTTTCTATTCAGATATGCAGTTTTGGTTCTGCAGACGTTCACGTTCCTTTGACCTGTTTCTGACAAGTTAGAGACACAATTTGTTTACATTTTCATATAAACTGTTTCCTGTCATTTTTGACAAAGAAGGATTCTTTGTTTGCATTTTTCCAGGTACATTTTCCTCTCATTTTCTTTTCAACTACAAAAGCTTGATTTCTAGAGGTTCTTTGTTTGAAATGCACATATGTGATCAATAAAATATGTATATGCAATACACTGTACTGTATTTTAAGGTTTCTCAACATTCTGTTTTGTAATTTTATTAATACATTGCAGTGTCGTGTACATGCAGTGTGGGTTAACTTCAGTACATCTACAGGTATAGCTTAGCATGTAAATAATAAGCTACAATATGCTAAGTGAACTTCCAGCTATGCTTATAGTATTATAACAATTAAACTATTAAAATTGAAAGAAATACCTCTGATAAAAGTAGGAGACTTTTGACCAGGCTAATAGTTGTTTGGTTATTTATTGTTAATGCTTCAGTTTAATCTTTTTTAACTGAATGAAAATGAAAGTGAAATGTGCCCAACAGTCTCTCCAATATGAAGTCCTTCTTTGTCAAAAATGATAGAGGGGACAGTTTGTATTTGCTTAAAAAATATAAACAAATTGTGTCTCCAACAGAGAACTGAGGTCCTTTCACATTAGGAAAAGGTCAAAGGTAAGTGCACATGCTCAGAAGTAAATATAAAAATCTCTATAGAAACTAAATTGCTTTTACGACTTCTGCTCTATTTTTAAGTGTAAAATATAGGTGATAAAAATATTAACTTTAAGTACACAGTCACATGTTTAGCATAAAATAAACATACTCTGCACACTGTATAAACAACTTTTTGCTATGGGATCACTCGCAGCAGTCAAGTAATTTTATCACACTTCTAAGAAGGCCACAAACTTTTAATTTTTAAAGTTTACATATTCTAAGGATTTAATTAGTTTGTTATCACTGTTGTGTTTTAATGGCAAATTGATGCAGTGTGTTGTTGCTACCACCAGGCGGCAATGTTCAGCGTTACCACATTATTTATGACCCTTCAACGCAGGGGTCAGGAACGTATGGCTCGTGAGCCAGGTTTGGCTCTTTTGATGATTGCATCTGGCTCGCAGATAAAACATAAAATATTTAATTTGGATGAATTAAAACTTATTTTAATCCATCCAAATTAAAACAACCAGACTACAGAACCAAGTACCAACCAGACTACAAAGCCATCAGCAAATTCATGCAGCACTTGAAGTTGCATTAATGGTGAGTATTATAAACAACATTATTTAAAATAATAAATTCTGAGGCTCATTATACTCACATTTAGTTGAGTTCAGTCTTAAAATATATAAGACTGAGCCATATAATATATATAAAATATATTATATGGCTCTCACAGAAATAAATTTCCAAATATTTTGCTTTCATGGCTCTCTGAGTTGAAAAGGTTCCTGACCCCTGCTTCAACGTGTCAACAGAGCAAAACATTTACCTGCTTCAACTTCTTTTTAAAAAAAAATTATTTCTACGATAAGAGAAAGTTCATAGTGACACTACTTCAGCAAGGGTGTCTAGCAGTAAGGGAGGATACAATGGCAATTCACAGAGTGGGGTACAAACTACAAAGAAATAAGTATCATATTTTTAGACTTGTTGTGGCCTGTCCATTTTGTGTCTGAATCAGATAAGCCTCATCATGCCTTTTAGGTAAAATCCAATTTTCCATTTTTTCTAGAGTCTCGCAGAAATCTGCGAGACTCTTCAAGGCAGGCAAATCATTCCAGCACTACTTCCTAATTTTTTTAAAAATGACTCCTGCTTTGTTTTCTCTGTTCTGGTTCTTACCGACAGCAATCCCCGCGGGTCCACCGAGCAGCCCGCCCACGAACGCCGTCCCCCCCGCCACCACTGCTCCTTTGGCGGAGCTTTTCACCGCCACTTTGATCTGGTCATGAGCTGAGATTTCACAGCACAGGCGCATGACGTCATCCATACGAGGCGCCATCCCTGCGCTGAAGCACAGCGGAGGTAGGACAGTGGTCAGAGCCTGAACCGAGGCAGAAAAAACATGAAAACCATGAACATCATTGACTTTACTTCCGTCATAAAAATAAACACAGAAGGAGCAGGTGAAAAAGAGGGATTTAGAGGTGTGTCAAAGATTTCCGAGCAACGAGCTGAAAAAACTTTTGGTTTCATTTTTAGCAAAAACATGACACTCTTGACTTTAAATATAATAATAATAATAATAATAATAATAACAGACACAGTAACGTGTATTTAAAATTTAAAAAAGCATAAATAAACGTATAGAATGACGCTTCATCTTTTGACATTTTTATTTTATGCCGGTATGGATGAACTGTGTAAACATGTTTTTTCAGTTTACACCTACATTAGAGTTTTATTGTGTTCCGGACTGAAACTGAGCCCGAGCCGCTCTAAACTAAAGAGACCAACCGGCTGAAGAGGCTGCTGCTCTTCTGCTCTGCTTCTGCTCTGCTGCTGGTTTCTTACCTTTAGCTTAGCCCAACAGCGAGCACTTCTGTCTCCGGTGACACAAACACACGAGCTGCTGAGGGCTACTCTCTATAACTCCGAATGTTTGGTTGCTCTTTCGATCTCCTGATTGGTCTATCACTTCCTGTACGTCACACTGGGTGCGCACCATTTGTAACCCGACAAGTGAATTTATGTCCACGGTTTAAATTGAGACGTACCCTTCACTTTGAATTGTCTTTGCTATACAAATAAAGTTGCTTTGCCTTTAGTTCCTGCTGAAATGTGACTGAAAGAAACAGCAACAGGTCAATTTATCTGAATTTGCAATCTCATTTAATATCTTATTGTATCTTCTTCGTTTCTACAAACAAACAACTGAGTAAACATAAACAATTTCTGACAGATTATTTTCAGTTGTTGGTTGTCAAAATGAGTTTTTATGAATTATTGATTTCACATGGAAACTCGAATCAAACTTATAAATTGTCAACTGGAACAAATGCACGAAAACGATTCGTTGGCGCGAAATTGCTAAAAATTCAACTAAGTAGCCTACTCACAAATTGTGTTCCATTTTCAGGGAGATTGTTTTTGTTTCTACCTCGGTTCTATATACAAGACGAAATATTTATTTTACAAATACTTTCATAAATAACATAGATAAAGGAGCCCAACAGCAGCAACAACAACTATTCGTTATAGATGTAGTTATTGTCAAGCTAAATATTTTCTGACTTGCCAAAGAAAACATGGGTCGGCCCCATATCAGCGCGCCGCCGCCGGAAGTGTCCAACCTCCGCCAGTAATGCCCCCGCCATTTTTCCTTAATGATGCGAACCCTGTAATAACCAGCATCTGCCTTATTAAAAGATTTTCTTTCTTTTTTAGATAATCTTACATTTGTACGATGAACATTCTTCTGTTTTTCACCATATTGTTTGGAAACCCTTCACGCGTTCAAGTTGTATGAGGAACATGTTTGAGACAGCACAGTCGCTTCTCATTGGCTCAGACGCGGTGACGAGCAGCCCAAGAGCGACCGCCCCCTGCTCTCACCCCTCGCAGATAAACAATTTTTTTGATCTCAACAGACTCAGAAGAAAACAAGGCAGCGACATCTTCACCGTACTGGAGAAACATCAACTTTGTAAACAAGTAAGTGGGAAATATGACTCAGAGTTTGCGAATGAACATAATTTGATTTGCTTTACGGACGGACTGACTAATCGCTCACAGTGTGTATTGCAGCTCAGAGTTAGAGATCAGAGTGGGTGAGGGGCTGATGACTCTCAACTACAAAGTAGATGTTTCACCTTAACATCTGTTTCCGCCTGATAACTGATGTTTCTCGTCGTTCTTTCTTCTGTGTGTTTCTTTTTCCCCCATCACACTAACTGGTGCTGTCAGGCAGCGTACAGTAATGACCAGAGTGTTTTGGCAGCAAGGAAGTACAGGAAGTGATGTATTGCATTGGTTCATGTTTGCACATTTATTGATTTATAAAGTAAAACTACAGTTGATCTGGATCTCTTTGTATTGTCCTGTATATGAATGGTGTTTTGTAAATAAACGTGCCTTGACTTTCATGGCCTGGATGACGTGGACACCGCTCATATAAATATGTGCACATTGTGCAATAAGTTCGGGTGTTGGACGTCTTGTACCCACTTTGCGTCAGTTCTTGACCTCCAAGGGGAACCTTTCATACCAGATGTAATAACAGACAATTTAATGTGTGTTTCATTTTGCAATAAATAATAGTATGTCCTTCAGGTTGAATTTGAGGTTAAGAATGCGAAAATCTCTCAGATTTCATTAGAATCAAGTAGTCTGCACAAAAATGAGACAAAAAAATCAAACAGATAAAATGTAATATACATTTTCTGATCATTTTCTTGTAAATTATGTTAATTTACGAGAGATTTGAGCTTTAAAGCTGTGGTATGCAGCTTTTACAAAGAGCGTGATTATTTTACATATTTATTAGAACTGCCAAAATAAATCTCGGCCTTTCCCCTGCAGTCCTACTGCCATCTGCAGAGCTCAGTCAGAAACAACCAATCAGAGCCAGGAGGAGGATCTCTGTACTGTTCGTCTTTACGCTCTGCTTACTGGAGCAGTGTACAGGTGTGTGATTGACAACGCTACATTTGTAAACATTTTGTGTACGGTGAAGAATGGAGGTGGGAACAGATGAAGTGGTGCATGGATGTGTGAAGAGCCAAATGAACCTGTTGTGTGTAAACGATCTTGTTATGTTTTGAGGCACAAAGAGAAGTTTTCATGTTCTGACCCGATTGGTTCCAGCCACACACTGAGTTACCTAAACTTTGAAGTCATACTCTGATTGTGTAAATGTTTGCAGACATCCCATCTGGTCTGCTGCAAAACAACCATAATTAACAAGAAAATGTCAAATAAAGGTTGTCCAAATGGTTGGACAAGGTTAAGTTTGGTGTACAAGGCAAGAGTGTTTCTGTTTTGTTTGCTTGCAGCACATGCTATTATTTTTAGTTAGTTGTTTAATAATCCATGCTGTTGGAGGCCACTATTTATAGTGTTGACTTTATACTATTTCAGTCAGGATCTTGTGATTAATGTTTTAACGTTTTCTTTAAAGTGGTGTCAAAATCTGGACACATTGTTTTGGATTTTCAATTTAAGACTGACAAACATAAATATTACTTAAACTTTAACAGGATGCCATCATTTATTCAGCTCATTTTAATTGATTAGTGTGTAAAGAGTTCATCTGGCCCAGATAACCTACTGATGAACTGATTCTTCCATCCTTAGAAATAGAAGAGTGTGCAGATTATTTTTGCCTTCGCTCTAGTTGATAATTCCAACTTGGTCGGCACTCAGCTGATGAGCTTGTAAAAGGAATCTGTTCCCCAACTTTACACTGATGTAACCACCCAGCCAGCTGATAGACTGTAATAGGAGCAGCTGCTGTAAAGAGTGAGCTGTTGGTGTGTAGGAACAGCCTGTAGAGGGCGCTGCCTCTCACCAACAGTGACCTACATTCTGTTGAGTGTTTTTTATTTCTAACAAACTGCCTGTACGCAGACCTGAACCTGTAAGGTGTTTCTTCTCATGACTGCTCTTTCCGTTTTTTACGTTCCAGGCTGTAAACGAGACTTGGAGAATGATTGGGAAGATTCTTTCTCATTTGCTTGGGAATGCTGGAGAGGAGTCTGAAGCAGTAGGTGGCGCCAACGAGGAGCTCCTGGAGTTTGAAGAGGGGGAATGGGTCATTGTTAACGTCCCAGGTGAGAACCATGATTTACAACAATAACAACAAGTGTACGCTTCAGGTTGTCATGGTTCCTGGTGATAATGGAAGGTTGTTTTATCTGGAAACAGAGAGCGGACCCCTGCCAGTCCCTGATGCGGACCCTCTGGAGAACCTGCTGATAGAGCATCCCAGCATGTCTGTTTACCAGATAAGATGCAGGATGGAGGGAGCAGAGGAGGAGGATGAGCTAGTCTCAGATGACGATGAAGAGGAAACCTCTAGGTAACTTTATGTCACTTAGATAGGATGCTTTATCTCAGCCAATCAGTGCGTGCATACCAAATCTTTCACCAATGGCTGTTGATGGGTAATGGATGAATCAATCAGAGAACCTTAACCTTAAACGAAGTCTCATAAGTCAGCAGGTTTTAACAAAATGCAGGGAAAACATCAGAACAGTCCAAACTTCACTCATAATGCTCCAACATCATGTGTTTATTCAGGCCGCTGGCTGTGAGGCGGCACATCTCCTGGCACCTGGCAGCCTGGGGGAATCCCCAGCCATGTGGCCTCCAGCTGCTGGCCATGCAGAGAGCCAGGAGCCAGGCCCAGAGAAAGAAACTGAGTCGCAGCGCCCTCCACAGGCACAACATGACTAAGACACAGTTCTCACCAAAGAACAAAGGATATGGCAACATAAGGCGTCCTTCCCAGCGTCTTTACAACTTCTGACCTGCAGGAATCAACCTAGACAGGATGCATGAGAACTGGCCCTGACCTCCAATCATTACTCAGGTTCTCTGTCATTACTCCACCTTGATCCTCTCTGCATATGCTTCATAACTGCATAGGAAGACATTTAAAGTCCTCTGCCTCAAAGATGAAGCCATGAGAGTTTGCTGTCGGGAGCTGTGCACTGCTGCCATCATGTCTATTAACCAGTGACCTCAGCCTCAACACGTTACTTTTTCATAAAGTTTTACAAATGTCAATTGTCTTGATTATGACAATTGCATGAGAACCAGTGTGTGATGTGTGTGTTTGAAAAGTAATTTGTATAATTAACAATTGGAACTTGTGACAATGTTCCAAACATGAAAAGGTGAAATCTGTAGAAAGTTTGTTTAGAAATGAAACATTTAAGATTTATTATGCATTGCAGTGGCTTGTTCTTTTATAGTGTGTTGGTTTTCTAAGTGTATTGACCTGTACAGTATTCATGTAAAGAAAAACAACATAAAAATGAATAAATGTTTTTATACTTTTTACCTGATGGACTATTAACAACAGTACAATTGTTGTCTTACCAATCTGATTGTCTATGCATGTGACAGGAGCTTTGAAAAAACATGAAAACCTGTTTGTAGTTTTTCAACAGCCACTTGGACGCACATAAACATTTAGAAGAGGGGTCAGCGACCTCCACAGCCACAACAGCCACTTTTCCTTTGGTCTAGAATAACAACTTTTGTTTAGAGTCACAAAAGCTACATGAAACAACTTAGTTTATTTAGCTTTTATTATTAAATCATTTAATTTTCAAATTAATAAAAAGCACTTTCACTTTTGCTTTTAGGTTTTAAAATAAACACATCTTAATTTTAGTTATGAAACTTATTTACACAAAAGCAACAAATACAGTTTTCAATGGAATGTAACATTCCATTAAAAATATATTTTAATCAAAAATTATTTTGATAAAGCACATACTTAGGGCTGCACAATGTGCAGTTAGTAGCACTTCCTTGCAGCTGGGGGTCTTTGCATGTTCTTCTAGTGAATGTGTGGGTTCTCTCTGGGTACTCCGGCTTCCTCCCACAATCAATGTGACATGACTGTCACATTGTTACAATCAATGTGATATCACTGTCACATTGATTGATCTCTACATTCTCCGTCTTTCACCTGGTGACCTCTGGAGATAGGTCCCAGCACCACTCACCATCCCACTGCACAGTCAGACAGCAGGTTTAAAAAACATTCTCTACATTGTTACATGAAAACAGATAGCATCTTTAAAGACCTTTAAATTTTAAAACATTAATTATTTAGTATTTTTGGCCAAAGTTATTAAGTGCCACAGTGGATGATATAAAGAGCCACATGTGGCTCTGGAGCCGCAGGTTGCAGACCCTCATATGGAAGAAGGTGCTCTGGTTATATGGGACTAAAATAATAAAGCACAGGCCAGACAAACAGGAAGTAATCTGATCTGCCTTTATTGTCAGTCAGCAGCTTAGTGGTGGTGAGAACTAGCTCTGTTGCTTTCGTAAGTGATGGATTTTTGCCATGAATCTCTTGACTCTATCTGAATCAATTGCACTGGCCCAGTGGCCACCAAGTTTAAAATGAGATCCAATGATCATTCCACTGGCATCCAGAAAGTTTTCAACGTTGTCGTATGTCACTCCAGAACCGATGAGCACTGGGATTTTCACAGACTGGGAGACCTCTGGAAAGGCAAAACACAGCAGGAGAACTCTGCTTTGATTCATTCATAAATTACTGTGACCTCTGTCTAGTTCACATGGTTTTATAGATCTTCCCAGCTTTTATCTTATCAACTTCCAGCACAGATCAAAAAACATCCTGTCATACAGACAGTAGTGAAAAAGAGTGACAAAAATGTGTGCGGAGAAAAGATGGGACAAAATGACACCAGGAACTCTTCCTGCTATATTTAAGGTTCTCACATTTTGAAATGTGATGACTTAAATAGTCATCTACAAGAATAAAAGATTACATGAAAGAGTTCTTATTTTGTAAAATTTTGTATTTACTATCAATTTCCAACTTTTTATACAAAAAATGGAAAAATACAACAAAAAACAGCTAAAAATAACATTATTTGAAGAATAGTGGAAATAAACTAATTTTGCCTCAAGTTGAAGTTGCTCCTGTTTCTATAGAGATGAAGCAGAGGGAGAGGTGCCTTTATGAAATGTGAGATACTGAGGGCAGATCAGCCCAGGTGAACTTTGGACAGGGTGAAGGCTGAACTCCAAGCTGACACGACCGGCATCTTTCTGTCTGAGCCTGCTCAGTACACAGACAAATCGTGTGTGTGTGTGTTCGTGCGTGTGTGTGTGAGGAAAAGAGCAGCAAGTGTGAGTCCTGTTCTGTATTTCAGGACTCATGAGACCCTCAGCTATGTGACTGGTCAGCGTCTGGCTGAGTTCTGACAGTATGAGTTGGACATTGTGATAAAATTAGACCCGGTGGTGTTTCTGGGTGAGGACTCTCACACCACATTACACTCTAACAAGAATCTTTAAAATAGAAAAGTGGGATGAAAAACATTCCTTTCTTTGGGCACAAAACAAAAAAAAGCTAACAAAAAACCCTTACAAAAGGTACTCAGTACTGATGTTTAAATTGCTCAAAGCTGAAAACATACAGAGAATGTGTTTGAGATAAGACTCAAATATTAGATGTGACAATATACTGAAATTAGAGGCTGTGAAACCTATTATCATTATTACTGTCAATTTTACCAACAGGTCAATAAGTATTTCTAGTGTTCACAAAACATTCCCTTTTAAACCAAAAATCTACCAAATTTAGCCTGGACATCTTTAGACATGGTTTAGACTTATTTTCAAACTAAAAAGCTCTCAAAATACTGGAATGCTTACAACTGTTATTGGTCAAAGAAAAACACTTAAAGATCCTTTGAAAGTCGAGAATTATGTCTTGGAAGTAACATACAATGAAGTTAGGGATGGTTTTAGGCCTTTAATCAGCGATTTGTCAATCGGTCATCCAGATATAACATATCAGATATTACATATTACTGCTCTCAGTTTTTGTGGATGCACGTCAATGGAGGTCAGAATTTCATCTTCTTATTCATTCATGCATCTAAATTGAGGATTTCCACCAATTTCAGCAAACAAAAGCATCAACCAATAGCCTGTACTTTGATACACTCTTTAATTTTTATAAAAATCACTTGAGGGTTTATGCTTTAAAGCTTGAACGAGAATGATCTTATCATTCCTTTGTTTTCTGTTGGATTTAAACCATTTAAACCTCTAAAGTAAAATAATTTTTGTAGCACTAGTGGCTTCTACCCATTAATATCTGTATCTGCTGTGCCTCTCTTTAACTGAGCTACCTGGATCCCAAAAGTCAACTAACTTTTTATATAGCATTTAGAAACCCCCCAGAATTAGTTCAAATCATAATAACCAGGTGGGACATCAGTGCTGAGGAGAAAAGAGACAGATCGGTCCATTACTCACTCCTTACTGACTCTCTGCTGCACTACTGTTAGAGCCTGCTGTGAATGCTAAGGCTAAGCATGACAGATACACAGTTGTCATATGAGGTTGACTTGTTTTTCTACCAATAGTACATTGAGCAGCCCATAAATAAGTGTGACTGAAAACCCCATTGTTTATAAAAGTTACATAGCGCAGCTTTACCATGGCTATACTTCTCATATATATTTTTTTTATATCTATTGAAACCAATTTAGCCACAGGAAAGCAAAAATTATTGATGTCTCAAATCACATTAAAGGTTCATACCGCCACATTTCTAATGCAACTATAACACTCAAAATGTCGAAAACATGTAAGTGTCTTTCATCTTTCGAGCATAAAGCCTGAGTTAATGAGCATGTTCTTACCCAGGGGACTTGCAGAGTTTAGATTCTTGTATGCATATTAAATACTTTGACATGTTGTGTATCATAAATTAAAGCAAAGACAATGAATATGCATTGTTACTTTCAACCTCAAGTATTGTTCCCCATCTTGGTTAAATATCAGTTCTTCTTGCAACAGTGCTCTCTGCTGCTCACATCATCTAATTGCATCTGAAATGAGTTCCATTCTGATGTGTTTCTTTTTGTTAATCTAAATAATCAGTGAAATGACCTGTCCTTCATCACAAAGGCAGTGTAGAAACATACTGATTTCTTTAGTTCTAGGTTTCTTTTCAAGGCAGTGATTGAGTGTGAAACAATGCTGCTCCATACTGTCTTCATAGTGCAGAAGCTTCGAGCTAAACAAAGTGCACCAGTACCTGTGAGCTCACATGGGTCAGCCTGATCTCCGGTCGCTGCCCCAGTGATGATGACTCCATCTGAGAGGAAGAACTCGGCAGCTCGGGCCGTCTCCTTTATCGTCACATCAGCTGTCAGAGCATGAGAGCTGGAGACAAACAGGCAGCAGGCTGAGCAACAAACAGATTGACTCACTGATGACCCACAGAACTAGATAACTCATGAGATATTAGAATTATTAATTATTGTACTGTCACCTCCTCGAGCTGTTTTAATGTAGGTAAAGTATACACTGTATTTCATTAAAAATGACAAGTGGATATAACTTTACTGGCCATGCTTATGTATGTAATTGTTTCACATTTAGAAGCATTTGTGAGTTCAGGGATTTAACTGAACAGACAGTCACTTCACCTGTGTTTCTTCTTGATGTCGGTGAAGATCTGAACCCCATCTGCTCCAATCTGCTTGCGATATCTCAAAAGGTCACCAGCACAGGCATTCAGAAGACCCTCGTCCGCCACATGAGAAAAGACAAAACCCTCTGCTCTGATGAAATCCAGACCTGAAAAACATACACACATCAAAGCGGTGGAAGAGTTGATTTGAACATAAAAAAATGCCGTTCTGAACTCAAGAGTAAAAACACCCAGTATGATCTGGAAAATTTTCTGATTAGCTGATGAAAAGCTGAACCTGAAGCCAAAGCTACAGCTAACGCTTGCTGGTTAGCAGAAGATAGGATCTGGACTCCAAGGGGCAGAGTGGGGCAGACATGTCTGACAGCAGAGCAGACCGCAGTCATACAGGCGCACACTTCAGGGCCCACGTTGAATGAGTAGGGGACATCATGCATGTTTTCAATGATCAAACCATCCTGGATGAGATATTTATGAGTTCCTCTCTTATTTAAAAGGGAAGATTTCAGCTATGCTAATTTGATGTGTAGAAACTTACAATGCCTGCTTCAAGGTAGACCTCTGCCTCACAGCATGCTTCTTTGACAATCTGCAACATATTTAAACAACCCAGAGGAGTACCTGGAATAAGGAACAAGCACCAGTTTGAAAAGAATTGCTATATTACTAATCCCTGCAGCACAATATAAAATGTTATTATTGCAAAATACTATGCAATGTCAATTTGTGGGGAGTTTAAGAGTAAATGTGTAAAATCTTTCCAGAGTCATTCAGCAACAGGAGCTCCTGCACCAGGAACAATAAAAAATTAACAGAAAAACATTAGAGAACAAAGATTATAAAAATGTTAAGCTACCTGGCAAGGCTTTAACATGAATCATACCAATGACGACAGATTTTAAGGATCCAAAAAGGCTCTGAAACTTCATTTTGTTGTTTGTGTGGAACCACAAGGCTGCAGAGACCTTTCACTTCAATTCAGTGAATGAGGGACATGTGACTGAGCAAGGTTCAAAGACAAAAATCAATGGAAGGCTGAAAAAAAGTTATTAAATGCATTTGTTCAAAGAGCCTCCAACCTGTAATGAGATGGTGGGATATAACGCAGTAACACTTCCACAAGGTCTGCAGAATGGAAACCATGAAACAAGAAAATAACTCTGGAATATTGTGTTTATTATTTAATTATATATTTATTTAAAGTTGTAATCAAAGAATTTTACATTTATTTGTGTAATAATGTATTTAGATGTATGTTTCATACATTTTTGACATATACTAAAGTAAATCTATTCCATATTTGTTTCCAATTTATTTCTCATCATAAAATTAATTAATAATTTTTGAAAGTTTTATATACAATTTTTATAGTCCAAGCCATAAGGGAGATAAAAGCTTAAACAAATAATTATATTGTCTTCACATTGAATAAAATATCTGTAGCCCATTGAAAAGATTTAAATGTACTATTAGTAATTATCAATGTAATCAAAATGTTGACATAAATGTTTACTGTTTGGATTAACATCAAAATTTTTGCTTTATCAGTAAAATATGATAGAATCGTTTTGCTGCAGCAAAATTCTTCAATGGTGGCATCAATAAACTGTGGCACTGCTTTACTTCCAGTAGTACCTGCAACACAGATCAACAGCTTAATGATTGAAATTTGAACACAAGTGATGCACCATCACAAGTGATGTTGTTGGTATGTCATTGATACCAACGGCATGTAAAACTGGCAAAACACTAAGCTTTTGTAATGGCCTTAACCTTAAGCCTTCTAAAATATGGTGGACTATGCTCAAAAGGCCAGACTGTTCCAGAAGCCATAACAGTTTAACTTCACTGTCGCAGTTTATATTCATGTAAAATTTAGCAAGAAACTCAGTGAGGACTGCATAAAAAGTATTGCCAATGTCCAACTGCTAAGGGTCATGAAATCAGCATAAATGAACCTAAGTAACTATTCTGTTTATTACAATTCACCCTCTCGAATATGGCGACGTCAGTGACGTATGGCAAAACAAACAGAGCGGCAAACGTCTCTCGGTCGGTGTTTCTGGGACTTTGTGCTTAAATAGCTGCTCCCATCTGCATGGCCGTGTGTGACAACAATTTAGGACATTCACAGAAAGTAAATATGCTTAAGTATTACAAATATTTTATGATTATGTTCACATTTATTGGTTTAATCTAAAAGACCGGGGGTTTGTTTACATCTGACAAGCAAGCCACGCGGTATCTGGACACTTCCTGCTGCGAAAACACCGCCCCTGCAGCTGTCACCGCGGCAGTCACGCCTTCTGTTAGCTGACTTCACTGCAAGCTTACATTTTTGCTTCTTTTCACAAAGTTTAAAAATACCATCGTCTTGATGTAAATGCTAGGCATTTCGACTGCACCACTCGGAGGTGAGAAGAGTGAAAATAGTCACGTAAAGAGCGGTTTAGGGTGGAGTTTTAGCGCCAATTTAAATGAACTCCTGACTGACGTCACAGCGTCGACTCATCTGTTCTGTGCAAGGCGCGAGCTCTGCTCACACTACCGAACAAAGCGGCCAGAAGAACGAGCAGTGGCCACGCGCTCAAATTTAATAACCGACACTGAGTGAACTTCAAGGGCAGAGACCTGAGGTGAGCTGCTACTATCGCAACCATCACTCCAGCGAGTTAACACGGCTTCAACTCACTCTTCTGAAAACTCAGCTGACTTACTCAAACTGCAACAAGTTGGAATACACGCTGTTTCTAATAATCATTAAAAAGTCGGGGTGTTGCTAATGTTAACTTCAGGCCTGATATTGTTTGTTTGTTTGTTTATTCGATTTGTTAAACAAGCTCTCAAGCGTGTCTGTTGATGAACTGGTTGTTCGGCCATTATGTGAAAAGCAGCTGTCCAAAGTTAGCGGGCTGCAAGAAGTGGAGTTTACCTTAAAATAGGCGACGACGTGAAGCTTTACAAACACTGTATCATCTGGAGTTTGTCACAAAATGACTTCATGTTGAGGTTTGCTTGTTGGGCCTGTTTTCACAGAGCCCTAGCTCTGCGTACTGTACCAGTTTACCCGCGCCTGGCTTGGTTTGGCTTTGTCGGAAGGAGGGAGCTCAGCGTGGGGGTTGGGGATTTATGAATGTGTAGTTTTCTTTTTAAAAATTCTCCTAACCTGACTTGTTTTCTGTCTTAGGTTTGCTCTGAACGTTTGAGCGGCCTTAGAGGATAATGCGGGGACAACAGTGAGTCTGACATTGAGTTTATGAATGAGTTCTGAACCTGTGTCTGAGTGTGACGACAGAAAGTTACAGAGCCTTAGCCATCCGGCTAATCTGTGGCCTGTTGTCACAGGACTTTATTTGGGCCACAACAGCATGTTAATGCAGGCTTGTTCCACGATTTTACGTTGACACATGAGAGTTAAGGTCCCGTTTCCTTGTGTGTTTGTTTTACAGGGAAGAGAAGGAACCGAAGTCAGCCGCAGTCGGAGCGCCCAAAGAGAATGCAGAGCGAACGAGAAAGAGGAAGGCAGATGTTGCTATTGTAAGGAGCATTCAGAGCCTGTCTGCCTTTACTGCGAAGTCTAAACGGGAACACACCTTTAGTTCCAACTCATGTTTTTATGAAGCTTTTTGCACACTGATCTCACAAACGTCCACTGGTTCTGCTTCCTTTAGGCAGTTAGCAGTAGATGTTGCTCTGTTTTATTGTTTGTGATGCTGCTTGTTCTTTATCACTATTCAGTTGATTCTTAACTTCTACAGTACATTCAGAAATTTTCTTCAACACCATGGATGTGAACCTCATTAACTGGGAGATTTGTGAATATTGATTCAACATAAAAAATATTTTATTTTTTTTGGATTTATTTGGATTCACACATTTGAACACATTTTTGGATAATTCCTAATCAATACAAATACTATGTAAACAGATTAAAATGTATTGGATAGCATGAAATGCTAAATTGCTGATTCTAGAAGAATGTCTTTTGAATTTTGGTTTAAGTTATTGTAATTGATCGATTAACATCAGCTCTCCTCTTGGGTGATGGGCTCTATTTACAGCCACGAGCTGGATCAAAAAACAATGATTCTGTGGGAGTTATATCAAGATGTAAGAGGGAGGAAATGTACATTTAGAACACTCAGTAAGTCTTTGGGTGCCATGCCAGGATCAACTGTAGGATGGATATGTTCCCATTTCAGATCAGGAATTGCCAGGAAATTTATGAAAATCACAAAAGTTCAAACCTGACATGAACTCTAAAGCCAGTTTAACATCAACATGAAGAGAGAGAGTGGCAGGAAAGTATTTTTTTTTTTTTTTTTATGTGAAATTGATATCTTCATGCTCAGCTTAAATGTGCAACTTCCCACAAGAATAAATCAAATGCCTTCAGGAGAAAAAGTATAGAGCTTCTGACCACAATGACAAATATGTTTCAGTCCCTCCAGGATGTAGCTGTTCATGTTTTTTTGTGATTGTTGCAGCCTAATATTACTGATGCACTATTTTCAAAAAGTGGCAAGTTTTGTGTTAGCTTACTTTTGCTATATCATGGTCTTACAAAAAATGCAAATTGCTGCACACAACCTTTACAATGAAGACAGGATTTGAATAGTTATTAAAGTGAAAATAATGTTTTCAAGTACCTTCTTGAAGATGTTTCCATTAAGTGCAAAGTATTGATTTCCACTTAATGCAAATCAAATAATGTCCTGAGATGCCAAAGTGCAAAAGAAAAATTCTCTATTGGTCAAGATAACATAAAAGGTTTACACAGCATAAGCAAATCCTACAGAAAGTTTCAAGATGGTTTTTGCAAAAATAAAAAAGGTAAATGTTACAGTTTAGCATCATGCATGCTTCCATATTGCTGGTTTGGCTTTCAGTGACTTTGTGAAACAAGAAGTTAAATTAGGAGGTTCAGGAGAAATGTAGCTGTGTTGCAGTGATCAGTCAGAAAAGGAAATGCAGAAAACATTTAGGTGATTGGTCAGATTTGTGGAAAAGTTCAGATGTCTGGTGAAAATGTACGAATGAGGGAATTTGCATTAATAGTTGTGATCAAATGTCAACTTAATTGAGGGAAGACTGATATTTGAAGGAGTTAAATTGAGGCGTAACAGCACTGGAACAGTCATGGTGGTAGAAGCGTCACAATGTTTGAGTTTTTTCCCCCTTATTTGTGTTGCTGTAAGTGCCTTACCAGATCAATGATTTCAAACAGACCTCAGAACTGGTTTGTGATGTGTTGGTAATGGATAAGGTAGGGCAATATTAAACTTCTTTATTGACATGGACCTTAACCCTGTTTATGAACTATGGGTCTGTTCCAGGCAAGCAGGGAGGTTTAAGACAGAAATGCTCACACATTTTCAGAATTCAGCAAGAGGCTTCTTGATGACTGAAAAGAACCAGGAGATTTCCAGTATGCCAAGAGACATTTAACCAAGTCTTCCTTGGTGTGTATGTCTATGTTCGTGGTGGGATGTGTAGTTCTCAGCTTGTAGGGTTGGAGAAAAGCTTATGTGAGGTGGTCCACCTGATGTGGTTTAAGAAATTAAAGACAGAAATATAATCATTTCTCCCTGGAAAGTTGTTGAACGTTTTAGTTGAAATAAATTATTAAATGGCTCTTAACTGGTCATTGATGCTCATGAGTGTTTGTACAGTTGTACATTTGCTATTTAATTTGAGCCTCGGTCGAAATCTGCTCATACGTTCTTTTTATCTTGGATTTGTAGTTTTTACCAGACCCGGATGAAGAGGTAAACGAGATGACAAAGAAAAAGCACCATGAGTCTGAGGTAAGTTTATTTTTCTGGCCTCTTTCAGGAGGCTCTGAGAGAAAGTTTAAACTGGCAGCGTTTCTTTCCATCAACTGGCCTGATAGGAAGGACTGTTAGCCCAGAGTTCATGCTCTGTGCATGGAGATGAGAAGGTTTATTTGTCTTTAAATAAA